ATAGTAATAGCACTTAGACTTATATACCGCTTCATAGTGCTTTACAGCCCTCTCTAACCAGTTTACAAAGTCAGCATATTGCCCCCTAGAATTTGGGTCCTCATTTTACTGCCCTTGGAAGGATGGAAGGCTGAATCAACCTTGAGCTGGTCAGAATTGAACTGCTGGCAGTCGGCAGAGTTAGCCTGCAATACTGCATTCTAACCACTGCGCCATCACGGCTCTTTCTGATAAGCAACTCAACTGCTTTCTGCCTATATCTCTCCTCTTCTTCATTCTCCATTTCCTATCAACTTCCAAATGTACTGTTATTCTACGGCTTGAGTTCATTAAATTTGCTTATCAGGTTGGGTAGCTAAAAACAAAATAAAAAATGCATTAAAGGCATGATGAGAAAGTTCTGGTTTACTGATTGCCATTTTCAGACGGCATGCAGAAAGACTAGACAGAGCTGCAGAACAATCCTATGTACCATTAGTCTGCAAAAATAAGTGTGCAATAGAGATTTACTTCCAGGTATGAATGCCTAAAATTGTGGTGTTTTTGGTTGGGGCACATTCGATGCAAACAAACAAACAAACAAAAATCCCTTAAATAAATACAGGTTTGTCCTCACGGCTACAGGAAGAGGGAAGCAGAGCTTAATCCCTGCACCTATTTCCTTTAAAAGCTGGTGAAATTGAACACTCTTTACAGTATTATTGATAATAACAGTAAATTGCATAATCACCAGGACTGCTTTTAAACCTCGCATGGATTGTATTTTTTATCTACAGTCCTTTATGTAAAAACATGCCCCGAGGGAAGAAATATCTGGCAAACATGTTCACATTCTGTGTATAGGTAAATGAACTTCCTAGGACAGTGATGGAGAACCTTTTAGTGATCAAGTGCCCAAAAAACTGCCCCTGCCCCACCCCACCCACCCAAAGGGCCATCCCCCACCTCCATGGCCTACCACAGCAGATCACCCAGGTGACCCAACAGCTCCATGGCGGCCATGCCCTCTGCCTGTGCCCCGCAACATCATTTGCACATGACAGGGCATGAGAGCGGAGTCTTGTTAAAGTCTGCCCGGCTGTAATATCCTTGGCTGTGCTGCTCCATGCGGGCTGCACCCAGGGGCGACTCTCCTCCAGGGGGCTGCTGGTGAGGGGGGGCATGGGAGGATGTGGGGCTGTGACGACGGTGGGTATGCCCACAGAGAGGGTTCTGAGTGCCGCCTCTGGTACACATGCCATAGGTTCGCCATTACTGTCCTAGGACATGCAAAGCATGCTCCACATCAACATGTAGGTTAGGTTAAAGAACTTGCATTAAAGATGGAGCTTGTTATTTATCATTTGATTGCCTGATCTTGCTCATCTAGAAGAAAGAATATTTGAGGAATTAAAATGTTTACACATATGGATGTGAATTTGATCTCATTTGCATTTTCTAGAACAGGGGTAGGCAACCTTGGCTCTTTTATGACTCGTGGACTTCAACTCTCAGAATTCCTGAGCCAGCATGGCTCAGCATGGAAACCTTTCCCTTTCTCCTCAGCATGGCTGGCTCAGGAATTCTGGGAGTTGAAGTCCACGAGTCATAAAAGAGCCAAGGTTGCCTACCTAGGCCTAGGCCGCTTTATGACTCGTGGACTTCAAACTCCCAGAATTCCTGAGCCCAGCCATGCTGAGGGGAAAGGGAGAGGTTTCCATGCTGAGCCAGGATGGCTCAGGAATTCTGGGAGTTGAAGTCCACGAGTCATAAAAGAGCCAAGGTTGCCTACCCCTGTAACCTAGATTAATGATTGTTTATTTATATATTTTATGTATAGCCTTTTTAAGCAACTCAAGATGGGAAACATATCTAATACTCCTTCCTCCTCCTATTTCCCCCACAACAATCCTGTGAGGCTAAAATAGAAGGAATGCCCCAAAATTACCCAACCAGCTTTTGTGCCTAAGGTGGGGACTAGAACTCATCATCTCCTGATGATTGGCCTAAAATCACCCAGGTGGCTTTTATGCCTAAGGCAGAACTAGAACTCACAGTCTCCCATAACTGAGATTATACCATGAGTTCTGCTCCTTGATCTCCTGGAACAATTTTTTAGTAGCCTCACCAGATTTGACAACTACCTTTTTACCTGCTCGAGGTGTGTAGTGCCATTCTAGTTGTGAGAAATAGGAAGATTTGAGTGTGATGATTTTTGTCTTGAAACTGTAAAGAGTTCACTTTGCTTTGTGTACCTAGTTGAGTATGATAGCCCTGCTCTAACTCACCCCAACCTGCTAGAAATAACCTGTCTGCATAGGCCAGGATATCTGATCTCTGATTCTGATTGTGATGTGAACTAAATACAGTCCTGGAGACTTTGCTGACTCAACCACCAATACAGGTAGACGTACAAGCACAACTGAGCCCAACATTTATGTTGCTAAGTGAAACATTTGTTAAGTGAGTTTTGCCCCATTTTATGACTTTTCTTGCCACAGTTTAAGTGAATCATTGCAGATATTAAGTTAGTAACAACTGTAACAAATGTGAATCTGGCTTCCCCATTGACTTTGTTTGTCAGAAGTTCGCAAAAGGGGATCATGTGACCCCAGGATACCACGATCGTCATAAATATGAACCAGTTGCCAAACAGCTGAATTTTAATCATGTGGTGCTGCAACAGTCATAAGTGTGAAAAACAGTCATCAGTCACATCTTTAGTGCCATTGTAACTTTGAAGAGCCACTAAATGAACTGTTGTAACTGGGATAGCACTGATCCTGCAAAACAGGATGTCAGAATCGAATTATATTTCATCTCTAGTTATCGACTATGGAAAACCCCATTTCTGCCCTCTCTGAATTCTGTCATACGATGAAGGGAAGGGGGGTGAACAAAAGGGCTTTATGGCTCTCACTTCCTTCAGTACACTTCACAGAGACTGGATGTGGATACCACCAAAAGGATTAAACATAACAATGAGGCTATTAGCTTTCATCTACTCCCCTCTGAAGTCTCCCTTCCATCGGCAATGAGGGAAAAGGGGATGGAAATGTAACACCTGGGATTGTCACTGGAAAAATGGTGGGATGGGGCTGCTGGGGATCCCTTAAAACCTTGAACCATAGAGCTTGGGCCCCAGGTCCTGTCTAAAACGCCTGCAACCATTTTCTCTTAATAAAGAATGCCTGTTGGAAGAAATATTCCAAGAGTTCTGTCTTCTTAAGATGCAAAGTGGGGTGGGTCCTTACATTAGACAGGACAGGGTCCTTAGGAGCGCTTTGAAGACTTTTAATACGTCGAGAATGAAAATAGCCATTTACCCAAGAAAGAATCACAAATATTCCTGGCTACTGATGGGAAATATGGTTTGCATACATTAAACCCCACATTCAATATCCGGCTTCTCCAATTTAAACAAAAGAATGGCTGCTAGGGTGAGTTTCGCTCAGCGTAAACAGCCATCAGGGTTTGCTTCATTATCTGTCAGTTTGCAAATATTCTCAGACAATGCCTTCCCTTATTTGTCTTGGCCAGCTGATATCACTGCTTTCTCCCACCCCCTCATCCTATTGTCTGAAAGAAGCACCTGGCTGTGGCTCTTGGCATTGTGGCATCCAGTGTGCCATGGCACAGCACGTGGGCACAGAAGGTAGGCCCCATCTGATGGATCAAGAGCGAGCGTGTTTCCAGGAAGAGGTGAGAACTCATTCTTCAGACTTGGGAGGGGGGGGCAATTTTGCTCCTGGACATTTCACTTCGAGTGTGTTTCATGGAAAATTGTGGCAAATAAGTGCATCGTCATGAGACTTCTGCTGCGCAAGGAGGAAGTGGTGTGTAAAAGTATTTCTGCTCTCCTCCTGTTCCCTGTTACCCAATACCACATTGCGTTGAGTATTTCAGGGAAGTTTAAGTGTCTGTACTTCTGTATACCAGGGTTTCCCAACCTTGGCAATCTTTAAGTTCACACATGAGACGGGACTTCGAACAGTGTGGGAGTATGAACGGATTTCCAGAAAACACTGCAGACTCCAGGAACCGTTTGCGCTTCAGTTTGAGATGCAGACAACGCAGATTCATCCCCAACAGCCTGTGCCGGTCTTCAACACTGAAGCGACACAGGGCAGAAAACATCCTGCAGCCAAGAAGGCTTCACATCCATTTGCACCACATTTGAGGACACAGACAAGCCTCCAAGTGGCCTCAACGACTCTCTAAAAGAATGCAAATGACCAGCTATCTGCAAAGAGCATAAATCCTTCCATTCCCCACCATCCAGTCAGAGCTGAAGAAGCTTCTTGGATAAGAAGAGAAACATCTTTGAAAAAGGAAAGGAAAGGAACAACAAGAAAATCCAACTGCCTCCTGAAAAAGCACCTTTGGGATGTGTGGACTTCAACTCCCAGAATTCCCCAGTCAGCTATGCTGGCTGGGGAATTCTGGGAGTTGAAGTCCACATGTTTTTAAATTGTCATGTTTGGAAAACCCTTAGGTATACACATATAAGCATCTACTTTTAACACAACCATCTTCCGTTTGCCATTTCTGCCCTGGAAGTTATAGACTGGATCTAGTCTCCTGATGTTCAATAGGCATCACTGGTATTATTTATTTTATGTATTCAATTTATATCCCGCCCATCTCACAGTTTGAAGCAACTCTTACCTATTAATTTTTAAGGCTGGGCAGTGCTTTGGATTCAATCTTTAAAAGAGGCTTCAGAGGGCAAGAAATGGGAATGTAGGCCCTTTAAAGCAGCTACATCTCTTCCCGGGCACACTCGGCCATTTTAAGGTGAATAGAAGGCCACTGATTCTCAAGTTGGTAACCTAATGTGAAACTGCTGGATTGCAGCACTTTGAAAAGAGAATGCACTGTGGTTCAGAAAGAAGGGAAGTATTGTAAACATCAGAAACAAAAGAGCAGAGGAGTGCCAAGCTACTCTGGGTGAAAAAGAAACAGCATTTTTTTCAATTTTGCATTGTTGGGGGGAAAAAAACTCTCAAAGACATCACTCATAAATGAGGGTGGGAGTTTTACTCCTTCGGTTTCCGGGCATCTGTATCTTAGCCCTTTAGTTCTTGATCTTAAACTTGATTCATGAAATTCCAAGTGAGTCTTGCTTCCCTGGTCCTGCGGTGCTTTTCGGACTTAACAGCTGGATAGGCAGTTCCTATCTCCAAAGAGGATACAGAGACGAGACAAGGTGGTGGAGTGTAAACAAGATCTGGCATCTTCCAAGGACTTGGCTGCTGATCAGAACAGGGGTGTGTCCCTTTAAACCTTCACCCTTCTTTTCCCTGAGAATTGTAAGGTCTGATTTCAGCATAATCCGTTTGGATGTCTTCCGCAGTTATATCTGGTTTAGGATTTCGTTTATTGAATGTAAGAGTCGCATAATGGATTTCTTCAGGGTCTCTGGGATCTCTATCAACAGATTCCTTGAGGCTTCTTTGTTTGGAGGGCATGCCACTCACTTCCTGTGCAGCGAGGTCCGGAGCGCTGGGTTCCTGTTTAAAGAGAGGAGTTGAGTGGAAGGACAAATTGCCGCCATTACACATAATTTGAAATGTGAGCTAATTTTACAGTCTACCGCAAACAAGGTGCAGGTTGGGGTTTTTGTTGTTGTTGTTGTTTTAGAATAAGCAGAAGCAAAATAAGAAGAATCAGCAGAAAGAGACAACTTTTGCACTCTAAGGAAATCAGTTCTGCAAATTAAAAAAAAAAGACGTTTGCTTAAGCTTGTTTTGGAGGTAACGTTTCATATTTTTTAAAAAATCTGCTTGAACTTTCATTTCCTTCCCCTCAAAATTCAATTTTTGAGATTTATCATCCAGACCTTTAAAAACTACCCTGCATATTGAGATTAAAGCATTTTACTGAGGCACAGAAATGTAATCATACTTCTTCACCCAGGGATGGAGAAAAAGAGTTCTCCAGATGTTTCTAAGCTACAACTCTTACTTCCATGGCTAATGGCTGGAGGGGAGGGGAGGGGAGGGTGTTGGAGAGATCCTTTAGCAGTGTCTTAATCTTTTTAGAAAATAATAATACAGGAATGTTGGAATCTACCACTATACTGGAGTCTACCACTGTAGTCCATACCATAGTGTTTCTCAACCCAACTTTAAGACATGTGGACTTCAATTCCCAGAGTTCCCCCAGGAAGCCATCTCAAGACCTCTGGATGGCAGGTCAGAAAAGAGTCAGACAGTCGCTTTGACTAAAGGGAAGTTCAGCTGAAGCCCAGCCAATGCTGAAGAAAGAGAAAGCTTGCTCTTTGACCTAGTGCAGGGGTAGGCAACCTTGGCTCTTTTATGACTCATGGACTTCAACTCTCAGAATTTCTGAGCCAGCATGCCTCAGCATGGCAACCTCTCCCTTTCCCCTCAACGTGGCTGGCTCAGGAATTCTAGGAGTTGAAGTCCACCAGTGATAAAAGAGACAAGGTTGCCTACCCCTGACCTAGTGGACCTCAAAGCTGAATCTCCCATTTTGGGGGGCCCTTGGTCTGAGCTGTAGTTAAAAGAAGGAGGAGGAGGAGGAGGAGGAGGAGGAGGAGGAGGAGGCATTACAAACCGTGACATTCACTAAGGTATTTCCCGTTTCTGAGTCAGTCACCATTTTTCTCTTCCTCCAGTATCTGCATTAAATAAGTAAGTAAGTAAGTAAGTAAATAAGTAAGTAAGTAAGTAAGTAAGTAAGTAAATAAATAAATAAATAAATTCTTTTGCATGCTGCTTAGGGAGCAGACTGTCTGGGCTCAGTTAAAGTTCCTTCTTACAAGCAATATAAACATTTGCAAATATCCTTTTCCTCCACGTATATATACATTCACTAGCGAGAATGTTGATTCATAGGACTGGAATTTATGTAACAGGATGTGCATTAAGGAAGCTAAACCACTGCACAAGGAGGGAAAGTGCTTGCTTTTCCAGTAGATAATTATAGCCCTAGACTAATTCTAGAAAGGAGACTCAATATTCTTATTGTCATATATGAAAGGCTAAAGCACATAAGGAACGGCGGCTGGAATTGGGTATGTCTAGTTTAACGAAGAGAAGGACGAGGGGGGACATGATAGCAGTCTTCCAGTATCTCAGGGGCTGCCCCAAAGAAGAGGGAGTCAAGCTATTCTCCAAACCGCCTGAAGGCAGGACAAGAAGCAACGGATGGAAACTAACTAAAGAGAGAAGCAACCTAGAACTAAGGAGAAACTTCCTGACAGTTAGAACAATTAACCAGTGGAACAACCTGCTTCCAGAAGTGGTGAATGCTCCAACACTGGAAGTTTTTAAGAAGAGAGTGGACAGCCGTTTGTCCAAAATGGTATAGGGTTTCCTGCCTGAGCAGGGGTTGGACTAGATGACCTCCAAGATCCCTTCCAACTTTATTATTATTATTATTATTACTACTACTACTACTACTACTACTACTAACAGGTGGAAGGAATCTTGGAAGTCTTCTAATCCAACCCCCTACTCAAGCAGGAGATCCTACATCATTTCAGACTTGTCCAATTTCTTCTGGAGGCAGGTTGTTCCACTGGTTAATTGTTCTCACTGTCAGGAAGTTTCTCCTTAGTTCTAGGTTGCTTCTCTCCTTGATTAGTTTCCATCCGTTGCTTCTTGTCCTGCCTTCAGGTGCTTTGGAGAATAGCTTGACTCCCTCTTCTTTGTGGCAACCCCTGAGATATTGGAACACTGCTATTGTGTCCCCCCTCGTCCTTCTCTTCATTAAACTGAACATACCCAATTCCAGCAGTGATTCTTTATACCTTTTAGCCTCCAGTCTCCTGACCATCTTTTTAATAATAGGCATGAAACATTGAGTGGCAAGAATGTACAAAATGGAAACAACATTAGCGTATTGCAGGGTTAGAAAAAAAAATAAGAAAAGGTAGGATAAAGGATAAGGAGACAGAATTTCCATCCCATGCAGGAATCCAAAAGGGAATAAAATTGAGTTTAAAAGAGTGATGGTATTTGCTGCATACCACCTGAAGGGTGCGGCAAGCAAACTGTGAGAATTAATAGAAAAAGCAGAAGAAAGTAGATGGGGAAAAATGGTAAATTGCCCAAAGTCACTTTTCCTGAGATGGGTGGCCATATAAAGTTGGATAAATAAATAAGTAAATAACAAACTAAGCAATCCAAATTAAGGGTTAGTATCTTGTGTGAAAACTCAGTCTCAGAGGCGTCTCTCCTCTTCGAGGTTTCCTTAGTATAATTTGATTCCAACATAGCATATTTAATTTGTACAGTTATAAATAAGAACAACTTTGCCAGAGAAAATTAAATAATTTGTTATTGTCAGAAAGGAAACCTTGTGTACTTTATGAATGGAGATTATTCAAAGTTAATAATACTCCAGACAATAATCAACTAAGTATGTGGGGAACTAATAAAGCGAAGTGGAAATTCATAGATTTCTTCGTGTCTGAATGAAAGAAAGAACAGGCAGAGAGAAAGAGAGAAATATATTAATGATATTAAAACACTGACAAGGGTACATAAACTCATAGGAACAAAATAAAAAATTTAAGAAGCTTCTAAAACATAATAGGAAATTTATATATGTCTTGTAAGTCAACTTTTGAGAGAGAGAGAAAGAGAGAGAGAGTTAATCTTTATAGTCAGTTCTTATTTTAATGACATAGAATGATGGCGAAGGAATTGCCAATGCATAGAGCAATAATATCGTGGGAGAGAGCTGAGGCTATAAAAGTTGGCAGGAAGTCTCAAATCAAGGCTCCCAGCTGTTGAGTCTTGTGCTATTGATATCTTGATGACTCTGATCAAAGCACGGATGCTGTGAGAGGCCACCATCTAGATGAACACATTTATTTGGAGGAAAAATGGTGTCTGGAAATTTCCAATCAATGACTTACACAAATTTGCAAATGTTTCTGTAAAAGCAGAAATTTTCCCAAGGGAGCTGAAAAAAAAGTGTCTGTCTGTCTGTCTGTCTGTCTGTCTGTCTATCTATCTCTGTCTATCTGTCTATCTATCTCACTATCTCTATCTCTCTATCGCTATCTATCTGTATCTCTATCTATCTCTGTCTCTGTCTCTCTATCTCTATCTCTCTATCTTTATCTATCTATCTCTCTATCTGTATCTGTATCTCTCTATCTCTATTCATCTATCCATCTATCTATCCATCCATATCTCTCTCTATCTATCTATCTCTATCTTTCTATCTCTATCTTTATCTATCTATCTATCTATCTATCTATCTATCTATCTATCTATCTATCTCCATCTATCCATCTACCTACCTACCTACCTTTTTATCAATTTTACAAGGTTTCTATGTTCCTCCAGTCATGTCTGACTCCATTCAGTTTAAAAACCTCCAAAACAACAGTAATCTTGACATGAAACTCCCCAATATAACAGTGCTAACAGAATAACTATTATCATTTTACAAGTGCTAAGGAAGAACCATAGCTTATTTTACTTGTATGTTTGTTTATATCCCACCTTTATTACTTTTTTTACAAATAAGGTAGAAAACATGCCAAACGAAGATATCCTGGAATTCAGAGGAAGACATTATCTTCCAACATATATTTGCAACCTTATCATTCATTGATCAATCTAGAAACAAATTTTCACAATTAACTACCTTTTAGAAGCAAGGATGGTCCCAACGATTAGCACGATAACAGCAAGCATAACGAGGGCGCCAGTCGCTATAAGAAGCAAGTGTGTATCTGGGTCTTTGGATGCATAGAAGAACAGATAGAGTTCAATAGTTTGTCGTTTTTCTAATCCAGTTTGGATTTTAATACTGAGCCAGTTTCATTCCCTCTTAGCCCAACCCACCTCACAGGGCTTTTGTTGTTGTGGAGAAAATAGGAGAAGGAAGGAACATTAGATATGTCTTCCACTTTGAGCTGTTTATAAAAATAACAATAAAGGCAGGATATAAATACATAAAAATAAAGTTAAAAGCAAATAATCCTGCCCCGACATTCTCAAAAATTCCATCCAGCTCTTTGCTATAAGTGTAAGTGCTAGGACTACACTTGTAATTCCAGATTTTTCATCCCTCTGAGTAAATTCAAGATGGCCTCGCCTACCATACCTATCACGGAGAGTTCGAGGAACGCTTCAGCAGAGCCTTCAGCATTGGCTGCCCGGCATGTGTACTTCCCAGCATCCTTTGCCTTAAGATCGGAAAGCTTCAAGTCATTCAAGGCTCGGGATGGACTCTCCAACACTTGGGTTCCCTTAATCCAAGTCACGTTGGGCGAAGGGTTGCCCTTTGCCTCGCAGAATAGCCAGATGCGATCCCCTTTTTGTACCATGAGCCGAGAAATGTTTGTGAAGTTTCCCAGACCTGCAAAATTCAAGAGGGACACTGAGAAGACAATGCCCAGAAATCTCAACATTTGCTTGGATGATTTTACCAATATGCATCGATGTCAACAATAGGCTAAAAATGTCTTAGTTGGCAATTTGGAGAAGAAACTGATGTCATCTCATGAGATTTGTCCATGACTGCCTCTTAAATATGAGGCCTGAATTAGTAAATACATAATTAGATTAGGAAAAGTATGATTTTGGGCCAGTCCCTCTCTCTTGTTGTGGGGAAAATTGCAGGAGGAAGGAGTATTATGTATGTTCACCACCATGAATTATTTTTGAAAATAATAAAGGTGATAGATAGATAGATAGATAGATAGATAGATAGATAGATAGATAGATAGATAGATAGATAGGATAGAATAGATGATAGATGATAGATGATAGATAGATAGATAGATAGATAGATAGATAGATAGATAGATAGATGAGATAGATGACAGACAGACAGACAGACAATCTAGGCAAAAACATTTCAGTTATTTGAAATGGACAGCAGTTTGAATTCTTTCTTACTTCCAGGGCAATTCTGAACAATATTGGTATATAAGTAGTCCTTGAGTTACCACATAATTTGGACCAGAATATCCATTGTTAAACTACATGGTTTTTAAGTGAGTCCTACCTGATTTTACCACAAATCACTGCAGTTATTAAGTCAATCATGCTGCCATTACAAATGGCAATCCCTTGGCCCTGGGGCACAGTAATCATCATAAATAAATGCCAGTTGGTCCACAAAGATCTACTCTTTTTGTTCCATTTCCCACTAGCCTTTTCTGTCTCTTTTTGATACCTCCTTCCTGAGCAAAAGGCCGGTGGGAGAATCATGCAACTTACTGTTACTGGAGTTAAAATGTTCCCCCTCGATCACTACCATCTGTGGTGGGACTGTAAGAGAAAAACAAATCCTCCTGTTCAGAAATCCTTTCAATTGAGATTTGGACACAGTCAGATCCCCAATTACATATGTCGATTTCCTGGAGCTTGTATCCCAACCTCTTTTCTTCAACACTCTCCCTTTTTGGTTATAAGATGCAAAGAACTGGCCGCCATTTTGATATTATAATGTCCACGTCCGTATTTCTCAGCCTTAGCAATTTTAAGATGTGATGGCATGCTGGCTGGGGAATTCTGGGAGTTGAAGTCCACACGTCTTAAAGTTGCGAAGGCTGGGAAACCTTGCTCTAGGACAGGGGTAGGATACCTTGGCTCTTTTATGACTCGTAGACTTCAACTCCCAGAATTCCTGAGCCAGCCATGCTGAGGGGAAAGGGAGAGGTTTCCATGCTGAGCCATGCTGGCTCAGGAATTCTGGGAATTGAAGTCATAAAAGTCATAAAAGAGTCATAAAAGAGCCAAGGTTGCTTACCCCTGCCCTAGGGAATCTCTGATTGTTCCCTTCTCCTCACAAGCTAGAGAATGAAAACACCTCTCAAAGGGAGCCATGCTCAGTGAAAGAGAGAACAGCAAACTCTCGGACTTTGCAAAGGACCAGTGACATAGCTCCATTCTTCAAACGAAAATTGCTTTGGGATTTAAGGCTTGAACCTATGCAGACCTAGACATGATCACTCACAGGCAACATTCAGTTGGATAGTTTTCTCTCTAAGAAAAACATTCCTCTCATTTGCATAGTTGACCCTGCAGGTGAGATTCCGCTGGTGGTCTGCAACTGAAGGTAAGAAATTCAGCACTGTGCTGTAAATCTGGATCCCGTTCAACTGCAGATGAGGGTTGATAGGTTTGGGAAAGCCACTCCAGGTGAATTTTGGAGGCATCCGACTACAACTTGCGAAGGTTGCACAGGTGATGTTTGTATGATTTCCTGCCCGCACTTTCCCCAATATCTGTATTTCTGGTGGTTGTTTTTCTAAGAGGAGAAGAGAGGAATCAGAAAAAAGTTACTCCAGGACTACATACATTCTTACCTATCCATGGGGCTTGATCTTCAGGCTCCTTCCCAAATGCCTCTCAAGTGAGATGGATCCCATTGAGATTTTACTGTATTGTCTCTTGGCGTACGAGATTTTATGCAATCAGGAATGACCACAGAGCTTCTATATTTCTATATTTCAAGCATCTTCTCATCCGAGAAGCGAAACATGAAACTCCAGTTGCCTTTTAGAAAAACACCTTTGGGGCATGCATGAATCCATGCCTGTCAGCATCTCATGAATCCCCTATGGCAGTGGTGGCGAACCTATGGCATGCGTGCCAGAGGCAGCACTCTCTGTGAGCATACATACCATTGCCCCAGCCTCACCTCCCCCCGCGACCCTCTCCTCACCAGCAGCCCCCCTGGAGGACAGTTGCCCCCAAGCATGGCCCACGTGGAGCAGCGCAGCCAAGGACATGGCAGCCAGGCAGTGTAGACAAGACTCTGCCCTCACACCCCATCGTGCACAGTTGATGCTGCAGGGCACGGGCGAGGGCGTGGCCCCCATAGTGCTGTTGGGCTGCCTGGGCGATCTGTGGCGGGCCCTGGAGGTGGTGAGTGGCCCTGTGGGCAGGCAGGGTAGGGGGCGGGCTGGGGGCAGAGCAGGGGCGGAGCCAGTTTTTGGGCACTTGGTCTTTAAAAGATTCACCATTACTGCCCTATGAAGCCCTCTTCAAATTTTGAGAACTTTGTTGTCTCCATCTACAAGGGCAAAGTTACAGGTCCAGCAGGCCAGGAAATGCAAAACAAGGGCAGGAAACACATCACAAAAGACTCTTCAGGAGGATCTTTAATGGTGAGCTGTTGATCAAAAGCCTTAGTGCTTCTTTCCCTCTTTTGTTGATTTTTACCCTCATGCTAAGACACACTTGCTTTTGACCATGGTTTATTTATTCACAACTGGCTTTTTATACATGGCAACTCTATACATCACAGTTTATAAATTGCATCAAGTGGGTTTACACATCCCACTAGCACAGTGGTTCTCAACCTGTGGGTCGGGACCCCATTTGGGGTCGAACGACCATTTCACAGGGGTCACCAAACAACGCAGTCCAACATTTCCCCCCCCCCTTTTTTTCTTAGCTGTGCTACTCCCTTTTATTCTATTGGCTTTTGAAAGCCAATAGAATAGACTCTCTTGAATAGAGTCTAATTCTATTGGCTTTCAAAAGCCAATAGGAATTGTCCAGGCTGTCTCTGCCCTGCTGAGCCCGCCAAATGTCCCATTCTGCAAACGGTGCTGCACCAGTTGAATAGTCCTCGACTTACGACCGGTTGAGTAGTCCTTGACTTACAATCGGTTGGGGGGTCGCGGCATTAAAAAGATTGAGAACCACTGCACTAGCATAAATCAACGAAACCAAAATCCAGCTTAGTATGATGTGTGAAACCAAGGCCATGGGGGTGGGGGCATCTATCTCTATTACTAAGGAAACATTCGTGCTATCTTGAAACATTTCATCACCCCTCGATGCTTCTGGGTCTAAGCCTGTGGCTCTGTGTGGATCATATTGCTTGAAACCTTTTCTCTGGGTTTGTGTCTATGTGTGAAAGAGAGAAAGAGAGAAGGGAAGTTCCTTCATTTGGTAGTGGCTTTATTCCTGCATGTTATGGTTATTATCTGCAGCCCCAACCCAACCCTGTTCATTCATGTATTAATCAAATTTATATGGCCAGAGAGGAACTCTGAACAGCACACAACAGTCCAAGGAAACAATCAATGTATAAAACAATTATTATCTAATCCCATTGTATAATGATTTTAGCAGAGCTAAAACAAGAACAGAAAATGACAGAGGGAGGGGTGTTAATAATAACATTTTACAATGGCTGGTGAAAACTGGAGCTTCTGACAAAGGCCAAACAATTTTCCAGGTACTCACCTGTCACGTTCAGGTATGGATTAGCGTAGCTGTAAAAGCTAAAAAATGCTTTATCCTGTTTTTCCATTCTGAAAAAATACTTCCCTGTATCAGATTTTTGGGCGTTCAAGATGAGGAGAGAACAGTTTCCTGCACTCACATCCCCAATGAGTTGAAAGCGTTTCTTAGCCCACTGTTCATAAGAGTTGACCACTTCGTTAGCATTATCATTGTGTGTTCCTTTCTTCCAATATCCATACAATATTGCACTGTCCTTGGCATGAGCTTTATTATAAGTGAAATTGCAGGGAATAATGGCACAGAGTCCTTCCTCTACCAATACATGATCAGGAGCTTTCAGGTCATACCCTTCCACTTTGTCAAGTATCACACCTGCAAAGAGTGGGAAACAAGACGCTCAGCTACACCTTAACAGACATCCCGTCCCATTTCCATCATTGGAAAGGAGAACTTATACAGGGCTGCCATCAAGAGTCAGCCTCTCACCTTCCCACCAGCTCTTACCTTTCCAAAGCAACGGTGTTGAAATTAGCCCAAGGAAGAAGGCCTCAAAGGGGCAACCCATTTTCTCATCCCTGAAAGTTCAGCTTCTTTGGAAGATTGTGGTCAGCAACAGGATCCCAAGAAGCCTAAGGAGGTAAACCTGGGTATAGAAACTGTCAGAATGAGCTTTTTCCTTGGGAGAATATTGAAGACAGGGCAGTATCAGAGGATGGATATTCAAAATAACTGTTTCTTCTCCTCTTGGAGAAGTGTTCAACTTACAACCGTTTGTTTAGTGACCATTCAAAGTTACAGCAGTAAAGAAAAAAAGTGATTTACAATCCAGTTCTTGCACTTAAGACTGTTGCAGTATCCCTAGGGCAGGGGTAGGCAACCTTGGCTCTTTTATGACTCATGGACTTCAACTCCCAGAATTCCTGAGCCAATTGCTGGCAGCAGAGACTGAGACAACTGCCGGATGCCGATCACTTCATTCACACAGTCCAGGTTGGAGATGATGCTGAGTCGGACCTCAGGGCACTGCAGAAAAGAGACAGACGGATGAGAACGGAGAAGACCCACGGCCACAACTGTCACTTCTAAAACGCTTCTGGTTGTGCTAGTTCAGTGTTTCCCAAACTTGACAATTTTAAGGCATGTGGACTTCAACTCCCAGAATTCCACAGCCAGCAATGCTGGCTGTGGAATTCTGGGAGTTGAAATCCTCATGCCTTAAAATTGTCAAGTTTGGGAAACACTGGCATAGAGCAAGCTATTACAGTATGTATTTAGGATCATCGGCATATATACCATGGGATCCTTCATTAACCCTGGCAGGTCATTAATGTATAGATTAAATAATAATGGGGCCAGGATACACCCTTGTCTTACCCCTTTGTTTGTGTGAATCCTGTTAGCCAGTTGCTTCAGGAGAAACACAAAGACCTATTTTGACTCTCATTCTTACTTCTTCAGAACTGGGGACAGAACTAAATGCACAGTTTAGGAATGATCAATGATAAAAGATTGACAACAGCAGATGAGATAGCATCCATCACACTTACAAATGGTAAGGAGATCCTACTGTTCACAACATGAGCCTCACCTAGATTCCAGCGGAGCGTAGTAAGGAAATTAGGAAGCTGGCAGGCAAGTCCTGAGGCCATGATCCTAATTTATATGGTAGTCCTCGACTTACAACAGTTCACTTAGTGACCGTTCAAAGTTACAACAGCACAGAAAAAAGGGACTTATGACCATTTTTCACACTTACGGCCTTTGTAGCTTCCCCACGATCAAGTGATCAAAATTCAGAGGCTTGTCAACTGGTTCATACTTGCTGTGTCCCAAGCTCATGCAATCACCTATTTCAGTGGTGGCAAACCTATGGCATGTGTGCCAGAGGTGGCACCCAGAGCCCTCTCTCTGGGCATGTGCACCATGCCCTGAAGATGGCAACTGTCCCTCTTCAACCAGCTGCCCGCTAACTCGCCGAGGTCCCACGTGGCCGGATGCATCCCAGCATGGCTGGTTTCCCTCCCCCCTGTCCCATCCCTCCTGGCTTCACATGGTCTCCTTTTCCCGGGCACAACCCACTGCATCTATGCTTCTCTGAACTGCTGGTGGTGGGCTGCAGAGCCCCAGAGTGCACCAATCAAGGGGCCGGCAGGCTGTGGCTGCTGACAGACACCGTCGGCCCCCATGCGCTCACTGGCCTCTGTGTGCGGGGGTTGATGGTGTCAGACAGCAGCCACCCTGGCCTCTACCCCACCTTGCCCTGTGGCAATGGCATCCCTGCCCTGCCTCGCCTTGCCTTGCCTCACCCTGCAGGACGAGCCTCCTGCCCACCGCCCCACCTGCCAGAGACCCCCTAGATCTCTCCCAACCCTGCCCAGCCCCCACAGGCATCCCTCCCCACGAGCAACATTGAGGTGACCACACCCACCTTGGCCACACCCACCCAGTCTGCCATGACCACCACAGCCACACCCACCCAGTGGGCCACACCCACCTGGCCCCCAGTGATAAATAAGTGGGTTTTGGGTTGCAGTTTGGGCACTCGGTCTCTAAAAGGTTCGCCATCACTGACCTATTTCAACTTTCTGACAAGCAAAATCAATGGGGGAAGCCAGATTCACTTAACGACCGTGTTACTAACTTACCAACTTAATCACTGTGGCAAGAAAGGTCATAAAATGGAGCAAAACTCACTTAACAAATGTCTCACTTAACAACAGAAATGTTGGCCTCAGTTGTGGTTTGTAAGTCAAGGGACTATCCATAAGTTAGTCTGTCTTGTAAGTAGTAAAATGATTATTTTCTCCTTCATGAGTTTGTCTAATCCCCTTTTAAAACTGCCCTTTTGTGAAAGCTGAATTATGGACCTCAGAACATGCATCCCCCAAGATTCTTTACCTCTAGGGCAGCTGGGATTTGTAGTTCACCAACCTTGCAGCACAGAATCCCAAAGTCTTAGTGCATACTTTGTGAAAGTCTGCTTGCTTTGGTCTCCTGGAATTGCCCACCACTAAGTTTCACTTCTGTCTAATCCACATGGTAAATGTTATGAGCCTTTTCCATATATCATATCATTGTTGCTTCTATTCAGACCTAGAAGCCTAGAATTTCCCACACTATCATGTTGCAAACTGTTCTCAGATGTTTTGGTGTCATGACCATCAAACTTCCTGAAAACAGTTTCAAAAAGAAGGAGGAGGAAGAGGACATTATAATATACCACAAATAAAGATCCGTCAAATTATCTGTCACCTTCCTTTAAACATGCTTAAACTAGCAAGCATAAGATGTGTCTCAATCTTATGCTTGCTATATTTCATCTCTCTTTAGGGCTGTAATTCTAAATATAATTTCTGGACCATAGAATGGATAATTTTTCATGGTTGACTTGTACTGCAATGAGTTATGGTTTGGCAACATCTAAGAGTAAACCTACCAGCAAACTAGCTGCTATTCTTAATATACCTACTCAGATAAAAAACCCATTGTCTTTGGCTTGTTTACTGATAAATGTATCTTGGATGCAAGCCAATCCCCAGTGAATGTAGAGGCATGTAGTCTGAACTCACTTACTATAAGAAAAACTTAACTGGTACTTTAGTTGCTTAAGAGGTTAGAACTTGTGTGTCTGCTTAGTGGAGGAATTTCCCGTATATATGCCCAGATTTCATAAGAGGCTTGACTTTAAAGTCATAAGTCTTGTCTTCCTTGTTGCAAATTTCATAGTTACTGTATATGTTATAAACATTTTATATACAAGCATTCTAAATATATAATATCTTATAAACATTTTATATACAAGCATTGTAAATATATAATTTACAATATGCCAATCTTCTAAGCATACATGATGGGTGTGGATAGAAAATAAAGCATGTATATATGTGAAAGGAGAGCACAGGAGATGTCTTTTTAAAAGAAAAAAAGGGGGGGTATTTCTAGATTTGAGAATTTCAGGGTTTTGTAAGCAATGGAAGAGTAAGACGTTCTGGAGGATTCTTAAAAATATTATCAGGCACACATTCATGGGTTAAAGCAGACACAAAAGTGCAAATTTTAGGCAGGATTTATCATCACTTTTACTTCTTGCAAAGAACCCAGGGATTACCACTTTAGGAAGTACTTAAATAAATGACCCAAAGCAGACATCAGAGGAGTGAAAAGACTCTAATTCCAGCTGGAAAAGAAACAGTATTTCAAAACGCTCTTTAATCCTTGACACTTTGAGATGCTCACTTGATTGAATTATCTTTTCTGAAATTATTCCTGCTGGATTAAAAAGGAGGGTGCCTATAACCATTCCCAGATTATATAACGTGAGATGGCACACATGGTTTTGCCATTCTGATAATACATACGAACTCCCTTTTTATGACCCAGTAATCCCCAGTAGAGTCAGGGCAACTGAATGGAGATGAGCATTTACTGGCTAGATGCCCTTCCTAACACCCTGCGGAGTTCACAGTAGATATTTTTTTTTCTTTGCGCCCGAGGAGAGAACATCTACCACTACCTAGGATTGAACTCTCAGCCTTCTGAGTGGGAGGCAAGCATCTTCACCACTAGGCCATACACATACATACATGTATATACACATGTTGAAAGAAAAATCTTCATCGGGGTCCAGTCCAAGCTGGGAATAATCAAAATGGAGACTGCTTTAGAAAGAAGGTTGTGGTTTATTGAAAAGCAGAGCCAGACAGAAAGATGGCTCTGAGAAAGCTGACCACATGTAGCAGGGAGTAGTGGGCTTTTATGCCTCCTTTGGGCTTTCTATTTCCTGTGTCTTCCTGTTTGAGGCTTTGTATTTCCTGTGTCATGTACTTTGACTTGAGTCTGGGTGTGTCCCTTTGGTATTGGTGGGTTAATCCTATTATGTTTCCTGTCCTTAGAATTTGGGTGGGAGGGTATGTAGATTTTAGGGTTCTTTGGCTTCCTAATTTTATTTGCTTCTAGCTTCCTAGCTCCAACCTTCATGAATGAATTATTACACCTGCATTTCTAAAAACTGGTTTCTGCCTAGTTTCTGCCTGGGATAGAGAGGCTGGGGCTGGTTTTGGGGGCTGGTTTCTGTCTTTTTTAAGATCTTCTCCATTATTCCTTTGGCGAAACATATTCTGCCTTTTTTAATATTCCCCAAAATATTTGTTTCTCTGGATTCTTCCCCCCCCCCCACACACACACACCTATATGTATACATATATACATACATATATCTAATTATCAGAAAGGCAAATCCATGTGCCATCTCACATTATATAATCTGGGAATGGTTGCTGCTTATGCTGTATCCTTCTTACAGTTCAATAAATTAGGGAGCCATCTACCTGAATATTAACCTCTTGCTCTAGTCTTAATAAATGCATTAGCTTTTCTTTCTTTTCTTTTTTTTCTTATGTAATGATTCCTGCTTTTCCCCACCAAGGTCATCTTCCCTATCTCTGCATCCATCAAGGTAATATGCATAATGTTCAGTGGCTGCCCAGTTATTTTGGATCATCAAGCAGAAAATCCTTTAGAGTAAGAATGCCAAATTAAAAAGCAAGTTGTTGCTCTTCCGTGTCTTTAAAAAAATTGTACTCTGAAGCAACTCCCGCTCAGTGGTTGAACCAGCTCTGCAGAAGCTTCGGGTAGCAAAAAACCACCTTTTAACATATTTCTTCCACTGAGGAGACAGAGCTAAAGAAAAATAGCGACCGATGGGAATAAAGCTCAAATTAAACACTTTAAGGCTCTTTTTGATCTGACTAAGAGCCCTTTGAAGTCAACTAGGCTCTTAAAAGTCCCACTGAGTGAAAAGTACGAGAGTCTCACCTCTTGATGCAGGAGAGCTGCCTTTCTCTGGGACTTCAGGGAACCTCTGTGCTCCTGTGGTTTATTCTCTGCTATTGTCTGAACAGTGCAGGAAAAGGTCTTTGGATGGAAATCTGTCCTCGCCAAAAGCAGAAGTGGTTATAGTTCTTGTGGGTCAATTGCAACATCATCGCTCAATGGATTAAAAAAGCGATGGGGTTCCATTGGGTGACACAGGAGACTCTCCTTGTTGTGAGTAATAAGAATGCACCCTCCATGCATATCGGATCACACTGATGTTTTGTTTTGTTTTAGAAGTTCTCTAGAGTCAGGTTTTGGGTTGTAGACATTTTATTGCAATACTTCCCCTTCAAAAAAAAAAAAAAAAACCCACACAAAAACTTTGTAGAACAATGGCAACAAAACACCAGCCCCGAGATACGTTCATCCATCAGACATGTTAAGATGATTTTGATTCAACAAGCTGAAGTTGGGTCGACCTAGCTAACTATACTTTCATCAAAAGCCCATGATTCTGCAGGGACAGGAATCTCTTACATGTAGTCCCTGACTTATGACTGCAATTGAGCCCAAAATTTCTGTTGCTAAGTGAGACACTTGTTAGGTGAGTTTTGCCCAGTGGTGGGATTCAGCCGGTTTGCACCACTTCGTCATAAACAGTAACTATTTTTTTTGTTGCCCAGGCCCAGAATGGACTTCTGGAAGCAGCATCCACACAGAGAACTGCTTGTTCGCATATTTGAATCCCACCACTGCTTCCTTCCTTCTTTCCTTCCTTCCTTCCTTCCTTCCTTCCTTCCTTCCTTCCTTCCTTCCTTCCTTCCTTCCTTCCTTCCTTCCTTCCTTCCTTCCTTCCTGCTTGTCAGAAGTTTATAAAAATGGATCACAGGAGCCTGGGACACTGAAACCATCATAAATATCTCCAAGCCTCTGATTTTTGATCACGTGATCATGGGGATGCTGCAAAGATCATCAGAAAAATGGTCAAAAGTTACTTTTTTCGGCACCATTGTATCTTTGAACGGTCACTAAATGAACTGTTGTAAGTTGAGGACAACTTGCATAGGGCCACAAATCAGCTGTAATCATGCAAAATGTATTCTTTGCCTTCACTTCATCATCATAAGATAAGATAAGATAACCTTTATTGTCATTTTGTTACTGTGGGCACTATGGCACACATCAAAAATGAAATTTAGTTGCCCGCTTTCAAAGTGAAATACATACATGATACACACCTAAACATACTATGTACACATATGTATAGACCCACACCCCTACACATATATAGCAAATAAATATTAAATACTGTCCATCTTGAATATATAATGGAAGGAGGAAGCTTGAGAGTTCACAAGGTTAATGCTGTATGGAATGAAACTATGGCTGAATCTGGATGTTCTGCTACGGATACCACGAAGCCGCCTCCCAGAAGGTAACAAGGAAAACAGGTCGTGAAGAGGATGTGTGGTGTCCCAGATAATCTTACAGACCCTGCTCAAGCAGCGCTTCTGTGCTATGTCCTGGATGGGAGGGAGGGAACTGCCAATCATCTTTTCTGCCATCCTCACCACTCTCTGCACCGCCTTCCTGTCTGAAGCAGTGATGCCTCCAGACCAGACTGTGATGCTGTATGACAGGATGCTCTCGATCGTCCCCCTGTAGAAAGTGGTCAGGACAGGGGAAGGAAGATGTGCTTTTCTCATGCGACGCAGAAAATGCAGTCGCTGCTGGGCCCGCTTCACCAGTTTTTCACAAACCAGCCTACTCATTAGCTGCACACCCAGAAATTTGATGCTGGTAACCATTTTCACAGGTGAATCATTAATGCACAGAGAAGTGTCGCTGTGCCTGCCTTTTCTAAAATCGACAATGATCTCATACCTTCATACGACTTGCATGTACATATGAGCATAAAATAAATTTGGACTAAGACACTTTGATGAGTTCTCCAAAGTGTAAGTGTTTTGTGCTCAGGGAAGCATAAAGAAGAAGTCTCAAAAAAGCCCAGTGTTTGGACCACACCTTTCCTCTACAATCCAAAAGCACCTTGTTTCAGCTGTCGCCTGGATATACTGAAGACCCAGTGTGAAAGAATGTAAACCAGCTCCTTAATTCAGCTTTTCTCACCTGGAAATGACTGGATTTGTTCCAGCATGAGACTGCAAAAGATTACCCTGTTGAAAGCATTTTTCATCATCATCAGTGTCACAAGAGGAATCTTATGCCAACTGACTAATATTTTTAAAAAATTTCCTGCTAGGACTGAGAATACTGGCTGTATAAGCTTGGTCATTGTTCGTTAAGTAATACTCATGTTTTGAAGTGAGGAGATGATTGACAGTGGAAATTCCAAATGTATTTTGAAATGGAATCAAAGCTCTTTATCAATGTTGACTCTACACTCAGTGTTGACTCTGCCCTCCTAGGAGACTGGAGGCTAAAACATATAAAGAATGATTGCTGGAATTTGAGTGTGTCTAGTTTAATGAAAAGAAGAACTAGGGGTGACATGATAGCAGTGTTCCAATATCTCAGGGGCTGCCACAAAGAAGAGGAAGTCAAGCTATTCTCCAAAGCACCGGAAGGCAGGACATGAAAGAACGGATGGAAACTAACCAAAGAGAGAAGCAACCTAGAGCTAAGGAGAAATTTCCTGTTACAACAATTCATCAGTGGAACAACTTGCCTCCAGAGGTTGTGGGTGATCCAACACTGGAGGTTTTTAAGAAGAGATTGGACAACTATTTATCTGGAATGGTATAGGGTTTTCTGCCTCAGCAGGGGGTTGGACTAGAAGACCTTCAAGATCTCTTCCAACACTGTTATTCTATTATTCTTCTACCCCAGAACATGATGCTTCCAAAAAGATGGTCCCAGAGTTATCCATCAAAATGTTTGATCTTTTCCTCTGCTGCTAGATAGATAAAGCAAAAAGACAAAATGGGAGGTCACAATTGTGAGCGAAAGAAGATGTTTCATAACACTCTGTAAAATATCCTGAATTAGGGAAGACAATGGACGAGATTTATCTCTTGTGTGTTTTCCATGATCTTCTAACTGGATTGAACTTACAACCATTCATATAGTGACTGTTGGAAGTTACAATGGTGCTGAAAAAAAAAGTGATTTGCAACCTGTCCTCACACCTATGACCATACTAGCATCTCCATAGTCACACGAAGGAAATTTGGGAACTTGGCAAATGGCATGTATTTATGATGGTTGAAGTATCCTAGGATCATACGATCTCCATTTGCAACTTTCTCAGCTAGCTTCCAACAAGCAAAGTCAATAGGAAAAGACACAAATGGAAGATTTTCCACAAAAAAAATGATCCTTCGTTCATTGCATCATTTTTAGAATCCATTTTGCACAAGGGCAAAAAAATAGTGGCAGCGGGAACTTCCAACTTATTGATGGTTTAAATATGGCTGACCGCCCTCCAGCGACTGACCGAAGGACTGGACCATTCAGCCTCTGGAGGGGGGGGTGTCTATGCCAACTCACCATGGGGCAACTTATTGTGGGACAATTTGATACTATATTATTCATTTCATTCAGTTACTTTTATTATTTGTGACCACGTTTTTGTCCAAATGGTTGTCACGCTTGTATTTCTGGGTGGACTTTCTTTATTATTATTGGCCACCGTTCCACTGGAAATTCATTTACCTTTTGTATTTGTTGACTAGTCCTGCGGCAAGTTCTCCCAAAGGGAGTTGGCAGTGGCATTTTCTGTGACAACTTGTCCATGGGCAAGTTGGTCAGGGTGAGTTGGCCACAGCGAGATGGCCATGGTGAGTTGTCCCACTCCACTGGAGGGCTAGGGTGGGACTAGTCTACTTGATCTCCAGTGGCCAAAGGAGCAGCCCAATCTACTGAAGCTTCGGTTAACAGCACAGCGGTGCAGCAGCACTGAAGTGACCACGAATTTGCCAATTTTTAATCCTACAGGAGTCCTGGGTCCTGGATTTGGGACCCATTCTGTAAGTTATGCCATTTGAGGTACCTTGATTCCAAAAACGTTGTTCTGTGATGCACCGTTTCACCCAATTGAAATATGTAGACAGAGAGACAGACACAAATGTTTTAGTGTGTATGTGTGTGTGTGTGCGCGCGAATTATTGCAGTTTTAATCAAGTATCCTCGTTACATGTGGCATTTCTTAAGAAAGATTGATTAATTATGTATCAAGTCAGTGTCAGTTCTTAGCAACCCTATAGATAAACTTTCTCCAGGATGACCTTGGGTAGCCCCATTGCCACTATAACTGAGTCCACCACCCCCCTTGCTGCTTTTGACCCTCTTGACCCTTCTCTTTCCCTCCCCTTTTCCCAGCAATACAGCCTTCTTTGGAGAGCTGGGTCTCCTTATAATGTGTCTGAAATAAATAATTTGAGCCCAGATACTTGTGCCTTGCATGATGACTCTGAGCTGATTTGTTTGATGCTTTATTTCTTGGCTATCCACGGTATCTTCAGAAGCCCAGCACCGAAGTTCAAAAACATCAATCCTCTTTCTCTCCTGCTTCCTCAAAAGCCAACGCTCACTTCCAAGGACTTTATTTTATTTGGACTGTTGAATATTCCACATTGTCATTTCTTAAGACTGGAACGCCTTTACTTTTTGGCTTGAACTCTAGGGCAGCATACTGCAGTTCATCTGGGTCTATTCTCTTTGGGCTTGGAACAGTGGGCTTATTGACCAGGGATAATCTCAGACCCTGAAAGAAAGAAACAATGTTCTTGGAAAAAGGGAGGAAAAGCCCTCATTTTTTTTCCTTGTTTTCACCTTATTTTCTAAGTGATTGTTGGACACAAACAACCAAGAGATAGGAGAGAAATTTGTGAGTTACTAGCTTATCTTATAAACAGCAGCTCAGTCCAGGCTGCAAAATGAGATTCAGAATGTTCAAAGACACTCAGCCTTAATGAACTTATTAATGAACAAGGGCTTAAAGTTTTCACTAATCCCTGCATTAAAAGTCTGTTTAGAAGTGTTGTGTGGTTCAGGAAGAGTGTGAAGCCACGCTCAGCGTTGCTTGACAGGCGCTGCATGGGTCAGAGAGGGTGTGGTAGAAGTACCAGGCAGATCAAGGACGACGGAGGGGGTGTGCAGGGGCACGGTGGGATGTATGTGAATGCATGAGAGGTACCACACAGATCAGGGAGGGGTGCAGGGGTGCACAAAAGGTGCTGCAGGAGTCGGGAGTGCACAAGAGGTGCTATGTAATTGAGGAGAGTGTGTGGCTATGCACGAAAGGAGCCACTTCACTTGGGAAGGGTGTGGGGTACACATGTGGCTGATGTATCATAAGCTCAGAGGGGCTGAGGAGGGTGTGTAAGTGGGAGACACTTATCTCATTGAAATGTGGCCTTTCCTACTGGCTTCCCCATTGACTTTCTGGGGAAGCCAGCAGAGAAAGTTGCAAATGGTGTTCACATGATCTCAGGGTGTTTGGCAACGAGTCATAAGTGCCAACAGTTGCCAAGCACCCAGGATCATGTTCACATGATCACAGAGGTGCTGGGACAAGCCATACTTCAGATGACCAGTTGTAACTATCATTTGTTCAGCAGTGCTGTGACGTCAAACAGTCGCTGAGCAAATAGCTGCAATTCGAGGACTACCTGTATTCTTATTCTCCCTTCCTGAGATTGGCTTGATGGCAGAATATTGAAGATGACAGTGAGGGGAAAAAAAACTGCACTCGACTCATTGACATATGACACACAGAAGCGTTAATGCCTCAGTTTCCTCAAGATTGGTCAACATTTGGGGTCCCAGTGGCATAAGAAACATGCCCCAAAGAGATTAGAACTGAAAAGAAGTAAATTTTTTTAAAGAAATAGGTTTCTTTTTCTTTTAATTAGATTAGTGATGGCGAACCTTTTAGAGCAGTGGTTCTCAACCTTTTTAATGCCGCGACCCCCAACCGGTCGTAAGTCGAGGACTACTCAACCGGTCGTAAGTCGAGGACTACTCAACTGGTGCAGCACCATTTGCAGAATGGGACTTTTGGCGGGCTCAGCAGGGAAGAGACAGCCTGGACAATTCCTATTGGCTTTTGAAAGCCAATAGAATTAGACTCTATTCAAGAGAGTCTATTCTATTGGTTTTCAAAAGCCAATAGAATAAAAGGGAGTAGCACAGCTAAGGAAAAGGGTGGAAAAATGGCGGACTGCGTTGTCTGGCGACCCCCGTGAAATGGTCGTTCAACCCCAAATGGGGTCCCGACCCACAGGTTGAGAACCACTGTTTTAGAGACTGAGTGCCCAAAAACTGGCCCCGCCCCTGCTCCACCCCCTGCCCTGCCCCACTCTGCCCTCACCCCATCCCCCATCCCACCTGCCCTCGGGCCACTCACCACCTCCAGGGCCCATCACAGATCATCAGGGCAGCCCAGCAGCACCATAGCGGCCATGCCCTCTGCCCGCGCAATGAGGCATGAGGGCAGAGTTTTGTCTACGCTGCCTGGCTGCCATGTCCTTGGCTGCGCTGCTCCACGTGGGCCATACTCTAGGGCGACTCTCCTCCAGGAGGGCTGCTGGTGAGGAGGGAGTTGTGGGGGGAGGCGAGGCTGGGGCAACAGCAAATGTGCCCACAGAGAGGGCTCTGAGTGCCGCCTCTGGCACCCATGTCATAGGTTCGCCACCACTGAATTAGATCATTCCAAGCCTGGAGGAATTTACAAAAATTGTTTACATTTTTTAAAATACCAGGAATCTATCTGATTTCAGAAAAAGCTTGATGGCTTCTAAAAGATTACTGGGGATAGACTTGCTGATCTCTGCTTTAGTTATCTGGGGCCTCTTTTCAGCACATTGGCTTTTTAATGTATCTTTTCACAAGGTTCTTTTCGCCAATAGAAAGGTTCCTTACAAATGCAATAAAGCTCATAAACTCTTCTGGCAAGCTACATTTAAGGAAGGATTACAGCGTGACCAAAAAACAGGCCACATTGGCTTTTGATGAAAGGATTACAACAACAATGTTTTGTTAGCTTTTGAAAATCCCTGACTTAGGATCTCTTAGGGCAGCAAGAACTGGTTTTGTACGAACGGAAGAGTAAAACCAGCCACAGAAATGAAAGGTGCTTTTGTTAGGTTTGAATTTGACAAGATTCCTTGAGCAATCATTTTGCACTCCTAAGATGGGTCAGTAATGTGGAACAAAGTGCCAGGAGATGGTGATGAAATTCAGTTTCATAAAGACCTTGATTCAACCAGCCTGCCTTCCCTTGAGGACCTGTGAACTGCACAGGTCAGAAAGAAGGCTGAGAAAATAGTTAAAAATTTATGTCCAAGATGGGAATAGTCTGTATATTCACATCTTGGACATAAACTTTCAACTCCTTTCCCTAGGAAGGTGCTACAGAGCATCACATGCCAAAACAACTAGACACAGGGATAGTTTTTTTCCCTCATGCTATCGCTCGCTGAACACCTACTATAATTCCCACAGTACTGTCTTATGTCTAAGTATATTTACCCATGTAGTATGGCTGTATTACTTTTATCCTTCTCATCTGTTCCACTAAGCTTCTCTTATTGGTATCATTATTATGATTATTATTAATTAGTTGTTTTGCATGTACATTGAGAGCTTATGCACCGGAGACAAATCCCTTGTGTGTCTATCACACTTGGCCAATAAAGTATTCTGTTCTGTTCTGTTGTTCTGTTCTAATTTAGTTTGAACTCACTACTTCCTTCATTCTCCAGATGAGGAGAAAGAGAAGAGCAAAAGTACATGTGATGCCTACCGTTGGGAAAATGTTGCTGTAGATTTGGCTGGAATTCTTGGGTTTCTCATGAGGTTCTCTTTCAGAAGAGGTTCCTTCAACATGAGCAGCTTTGGACAATGCTTTCTTCTGCTTAAAAATCCTGGGAGCAAGTCAGTAGGACAATGTTAGGTTCTTATACTGTATATCCATGGAGTCATAGAACAGATGGGACCTAAAAAATAATCTAATTCAGGGTTCCCCAAAGTGATCAATATTGACCCCAAAGGCTGATGGGACTATCCAAGGGGTAATCAGCACTACTTTAACTAACAGTACTATAGGACTATCCAAGAGATCGTTGCTATTATTTTTGTATATTTATTACATTATTTTCATATAATAAATGTTTGGGGTCTAATGAGCAATTAGAAACTTCATCAAAGAGTTTGAAGACTCCTGATGTAGCCCAGTCTCTACTACTAAAGGAATCCACTAGTACAGCAATAGTTATTTCAGAAATGAAGCCACAATCTTCTCTATTTTTTTTCTCCTAAAACTGATGTCTTAATCCCTAGCTTTTTGTTTGTGTCAATTCCCTAATCAGTTTACATCCATCATTTTTCCATCTCTTTCTCTTACTAATGGTGCATTTCCTCCCCACAACAATGCAACACTCCATTTATTTGAAATCCTAATCAAATTGGGTTGGGGGCTTGTGTCTTTGTACACACTATATAAACACTAAGGATTCAGATAGTGTCACCATAGTGGGGTGAATCATACTTTGGCTCCTCCCAAGTGTAACAATGGCAGATGGATAGTTTAGGCCAGTGATGGCGAACCTTTTAGAGACCGAGTGCCCCAAACTAGCCTTGCCTCCACTCCACCCTGCCTGCCCGCAGGACCACTCACCACCTCCAGGGCCCACTGCAGATCACCCCAGGCAGCCCAGCAGTGCCATGGCAACCATGCCCTCTGCCGGCACCCCGCAGCATCAACTGTGTGTGATGAGATGTGAGGGCAGAGTCTTGTCTACACTGCCTGGCTGCCATGTCCTTGGCTGCGCTGCTCCGCATGGGCCATGCTCAGAGGCGACTCTCCTCCAGGGGGGCTGCTGGTGAGGAGGGGGCTCCGAGTGCCGCCTCTGGCACCCATGCCATAGGTTCACCACCACTGGTTTAGGCTGAATATCTGGAGTCAAGCAGAATGTTTTCTGCACTATTATAGATACCCCAAGCAAGCAATTTGTTTTAAAATAAATTCCTGCCACTTTATCCTATATTCTTCTAATCCTAGAGAAGGTGCTACCTACTTTGAGATCTGTCTAAAGTAGACACATTAAAATTAGTAGTGGATGTCATTTATTCTGCTGGATCTATTCCATCCATGAAAAGTTGTGGATTTTTAAAATTTAATGTGGCTTATTAAAGCAGCTGTGTGACAAAGCCTGAAAGAGTGGCTGCTTTAAAGAGATGCTGTGCCAATGCTGCTGCATGTACTGAAACAATTCATCTGAATCTTTTTAAAGCATAGAATAAATACACATATATTGCTACACATTCTCTACCTTTTTCCTTACTTCCATCCCTTTTCCTTCTTTCTGCAGTCAAATATCCCATAGAGAACGATATTTAGTATGTTGGCCCAGTTCTTCATTGTTGTTTACAACAGAACAATTAGCAAACTGTTCAGCATTGTAACTCTGCTGAAATGTACTAGATCTAGAGCATAATGATTGTCAACATTTAATGATGCTTCAGAATTTCACCATTTACGTATTGAAAACCTAGAATCTGGAATGGGGGACCAGGGCAGAATCTATAAAATCTGCAATGGGCTGGCTATGATTAACTTATAGGGAGTTTTATAGATTGATACAAGTTAATGGTCAGAGTGTGATTTTTATCAATTTTGCCAAAACATAATGATCTGGAGAGAAACTCACCTGATCAGGAATAAACACACCATGAAGATTCCAGTTCCCAGAAAAATTCCACAGAGCCCGGCAATGAACAAAGCCTTATTAGATCTTTCTGCAACAATACATCAAGAACTCTGAGAAAACCAAAGAATAGTTTCTTCTGGTAATAGTTTGGTAAGAGATTTGGGAAAATTGGGAAGTCTAATTCCTAAGACTATACTGCATGGAGATAGAGGAAGTCCTCTGTTCCCAAGGGGTCTTCAACTCCCAGAATTCCTTAGCCAGGCATGCTGGCTGAGGAATTCTGGGAGTTGAAGTTCACAAGTCATAAAAGGGCCAAGTTCAAAGACCCCTGCTATGGAGAATTAGCAAGATGGTCTTGAAGGAAACAGAGAAGAATCACTCTAGGTAGTTCTTGATTTACAACCATCCATTTAGGGACTGTTCCAAGTTATAACAGCACTGAAAAAAATGACTTACAACTGATCCCCATCCTTATGGCCATCACGCCCTTTCTATGGTCACATGATCACAATCCGGGCACTTGGTAACCAGCATGTGTTCGTGATGACCGTAGGATCCCAATGTCATGTGCTTGTCATATGCAACCTTCCCAGCTGGCTTCTGACAAGCAAAATCAATGAGGGGGGGAAGCCAGATTTGCTGAACAATTGTGTGATAAGCTTAACTGCAGTGATTTGCTTAATACCTGTAGCACAAATGGTTGTAAAATCAGGTGCAACTCACTTAACAACCATGTTGCTTAGTAATAGAAGTTTGGATCCCAGTTGTAGTTGTAAGTCAAAGGGGTCCTTGGTGCTCTCTGAGCTTGCTTGTTTTCTTGCAGACATTTCATTACCCTAATTAGGTAACATCATCATCAGTGCTAGATGATGTTACCTAGTTAGGGTAATGAAACGTCTGCAAGAAAACAAGCAAGCTCAGAGAGCACCAAGGACCTCTCATTTCAACCCTGAGCTATAAATATTCTCCTTCAAGGAGTACCTGTAACAGAAATTTGCAAGTCTAAAACTATCTCCCCTTCTAGCTATCTTCTCTTACATTTACGTTCCTAAAAACCGCGGAGGGTTCTTTCTGAAATGTCTTCACCCTTCCTTGAGAGTCATATTTCATTTATCAGACTATTGTCTAGGCCAGGGGTAGGCAACCTTGGCTCGCTTATGACTCATGGACTTCAACTCCCAGAATTCCTGAGCCAGCATGGCTCAGCTTGGAAACCTCTCCCTTTCCCCTCAGCATGGCTGGCTCAGGAATTCTGGGAGTTGAAGTCCACGAGTCATAAAAGAGTCAAGGTTGCCTACCCCTGGTCTAGGCTGTGGGTTTTCCTCCTTCTTCCGAGGATAATTCCCACGTATCCTTACACGCGCCTGGTGCAGTTCCTTACCTGTGGACGATTCTGAAGTTGGGCCTGTCTTGGCACTCAACTGGAATTGCATGATTTGGATTCCATAAGAATTGCTCCCTATGCAGATAATATTATGAGCTCTGTCCAGGCTGCCAGTCCAGTTTAAGGTACTGGTGACCTCATTCGTCTGGACTGAAGCTTGGACTATCCAGTTTCCTCTTCTCCTGGTTATCCTCTCCCCATCCACTTCCCATTCAATCTGGGGAGATGGTTTAGCATGCAGGGTACAGCTACACAGGAAACCGCTGTCGTGATAATAACATGTTGTATTTTTCTGGGGGCTTCTGCTGACTTTGGGGGCATCTGGAAAAAAGACAAAAGAGCCATGTAGTTCAAAGGTCTTTAGTTTAGTTAAGACTTTTGTTTCTCTACATGAAAAAAAAAGGTGCCATGTTTTTTTCCAAACCTAGGGCTGCCATAGTGATAAAAGTATCATTGATAAGAGACTTACTCTCCTATTATAGGCCTTCAAATCTCATTTCACCACCCTCACTATGAACATCCTAGTTGGCTTATGGTATCCAGGAATCTCTCTTAGATTCTTTCTCTCTGCCACAGAACTGAACCTTGATTGGTTTTCTGCCAAGGATGAGCAATGTCCTATAGCTCAAGATGTCAATACCTTTAATATCTACCCTCTAGAAGGAAGTGCCTTCTAGAGTATCGTGCTTCACTCACATGTCACGTAGAGCCGGAACGTCCCGTTAACAAAGCCAATCGAGTTTGTGACTTTGCACATATACACACCCTCATCTTCAACTGTCAGATTGGTCAGTCTCAACTGGTTTTCTGGAGGGTTCTGCAAGTGGCTGTCGCCTTTCATCCAACTAGCTGTGGCTGGAGGATTGCTATCTGCTTTGCAGAATAGCTCCAGCGAGTCACCTTCTTGGGCTGTCAACTCAGAGCCATTGGCCAGTTCCCCGGAGCAACCTGAAACCAGAGTAAAGCATCCATCATTTCCATGAAAGAGGTAGAGAGCCTTGGTCAAGCCAACCACCGGCCTCCTTCAGAAAAAAGAGGAATACCGCACATAGTTGCCCCCTAAGGTACCTTGGGTGAGTATGGAGCCTCTCCTGTGAGTTTGGGAGGTCTTGAAGATCAGCATCCTTGGACGATCTGAAGAGAGAAAAAAACAACAACACATCAAACTCCATGAGAGAAAAACTTTTGTGGAGAAGAAAGATAAAACCTCTGGCCTGCAAGACAGGGCATCTTAAAGATTGCATATGGTCACTAGATGACAGGTGTGATAAAGGGAGAGGTTTCACTTTCTCTCACCAAAGGGTAAAGAGGCAAATTTTCATGGCTTTCCAATGACGGAATGAGGAGTCAGAAGTTCAAAATAAAGGATCCAAGCTGTGTGAATTCTGTACTCTTCAGCCCAGGGGTCTAGGACAATTGGCCATAGCTACACAGTTGTGGACACTTCACCATGGCATCAGGGCCTCAGGGGTGGGAGGCAGGAAAGTGGCCACAACAATATGGCCGCGGCCAATTGTCCCAATCCATCAGCCTAGCACCCCGACAATAAAATACACATTTATGAGTTACTGACTATATTTCCCGCATTGTGCATTTGTACACGTTTCCTGAACGGGACATCATGTATTCTTTTCACATCATTATTTGCAGGAGGGAAAGGAGGAAAGAGAATGATGTGAAATAATTTCTAATTTAAACTTCCTTTTCGCATTCTGAGAATCTAGATTTTTTTTTTTAAAGAGTAAAAAAGTGGCAACTCCTAAAGAAACAAGCCGGTATCAGATTTTGCATCCTCACAGCAATTCTACAGATGCAACTCCACAACCCATAGCATTTCAATACAATTTCTTACTGAGGAAAAAAAAAATTATCTGCTTTTAGGGGGAAAAATAATCTTCATTTTCCCTGAGGCAGCTTTTTCTAATCTTGTATCTCTCCCAGTACTTTGGGTTATAATTTCCATCATCCCCAGCCCTCAAGACAGAATAGAATAGATTGATATAGATGTCTCTCCAAAGCGAAGCACACCAAAAGCTGAAAAAGAAGGGTTTGAAGCAGCAGATGAGAGAAATGTATCCTACAAATTTGGTTTGTATGGTTTCAAGCAAGTTTTTCTTTGCAAGGATTCTTGTATGTACCCCATATAAAATTTACATCAATGTTTTAGCCTCAAAAAGTTTTGGCCTGTGTAAAGGTAATGTTTCATTGCATTTAAGGACTTATTGGCTGCTTGCAATGTACGATCCAGGTATGCCTTCCATGTCCCTTGTGAGTGGAAAACCACCCCAAGGAATCTAAATGTTCTAATCAAACCTCTCTCTCAATTCCCTTTTTTCTATAATCTGTTTTTTCAAATCAAAGCCATAAGTCACAAAATTATTTTCTTTCTTATGCAAAAAGTATGCATACATACATGTAGGTAGGAGATGACCAGGCTGAGCCCAAGGGAGGGGTCAAACATGTTATCAGTCATGAGTCCTTGCATGCCCACAAGGGATCTAAATCCAGCCCACTTTGAATGCTTTTCTTATCTCCCGCTCATTTCCCTTGACGGTTAGTAGCTCAGATTCTTGTAGAGAGCTTAAGCTTGCAATAAATCTTTATACTCATTTGAACTGCCGGAATCTCCTGACTCCCCGGCACTTGGCAATGCATATGTTTTCTATTCTTTTTTTTTTCTCTCTACCTACTATTCTTCCTTTTTCTTTTCTTTTTCAAATTTATTGGCCATTCCTCTCACCACAGGGTAACTCTGGGCAGCTTACAATATTTAATATATATATAAATGAAATACTACAAAAGTATAAAAATACAAAATAAATAGCTAAAATGATGGGTAGGGAGGGAGTAGGATAAACAGGAAGGATCTGATGTTAACAGTAGACAGTTAGAACAATTAACCAGTGGAACAGCCTGCCTCCAGAAGCAGTAAATTCTCCAACACTGGAAGTTTTTAAGAAGAGGCTGGATAGCCATTTGTCCGAAATGGTGTAGGGTTTCCTGCCTGAGCAGGGGGTTGGACTAGATGACCTCCAAGGTCCCTTCCAACTTTACTACTATTACTAATCTATCAACCAGCCCACATGAAGATCCTTCTTTGGAGCTCCAGGCCAGCTGGCAGAGATAGATCTGTAGACTCTTGCAGAAGTCAGTAAGATTAGAGTGGACCTTCTAATTCTACATTACATCCAAAGTTCTTTGCCCATGTCATCATTGTTTCTTTTACTTGTTCTTCCTCTATCTTTAAGTTTAACAGAAATCTATACAGTTTCTTAACCAACTTTTCATCTGTTTTTAGTAGTATCTGATCAAATTCTATCTGTTCTTTACAAAATCTCATTGTTTTAACATCTTTTTCCTATCTCGTTTGGATTTGCAGATATGGCCACCCGGCTAGATCCATACCTTGTTCTTGTAGATCTTGTCTGTCTTTCAGTTTTCCTTCATTGTCCAAAATATCTTTATAAGTCCCAACTTTATCGTAGTTAATTCAATTTGGGTAAGCAAAAGCTTCCATTGTTGAAAGCCAATGTTGAGTGATTAGCTAATATATTGTTTATTATAATTAACTATTTTCTATCATTGTTTGTTAAATACATGAACCCAGACATTATGCCGTTGGCTAAATATTGAGAATGTTACTTGGAAAAACCTTAATCTCAACCCTAATCTTAATCCCAACCCTAACCTAAATCCCAACCCCAACCCCAACCCCACCTTATTCCTAACCTCATAAAAACTAATAAAATCTATACCAAAAAAAAAAAAAAAGATTAGAGCAGACCTTTTTCCGGGGGTCAAGATGTTCCAGAATGCAAGCGCCATGGCAGAAACAGCTCTTCTGGACCACATTGGCCAGAATACCCTGGCTGATGGGGCCAGCAACATGCCTCCTCTGCCAGCACTGGTGGAGCAGCCAATCGCAGTGAGAAGAGACAATCCCTTAAGTCGGTGGTTCTTAACCTGGGCAATATTGCCCCCCAGGGGGTGATTTCATTTTTCAGGGGGGTGATGGAATGAAAAGGGGCGATGCGGGGGGTGCGAAGGAATGAAAAGGGGGCGAAATGGGGGCGATGGAGCAAGATGTTTTGGGGACACTTTGAGACTTTTTTGTACAGTGAATGGCTGTATATCTGTCGTACAAAAACATCAGATCGCTCGCTATTAGTGGATTGAATTGTGTTTCCAAATGTTCCTCCAGCTGTCTTCAGTACAGAACGCCTTACATATGTGAATATGCATCGCTTATCGCATTGTGCAGCAGCCTCTACCCATACAGTGGCGCGCCATTGGCCAGAATATGGGAGATATGGGGAAAAGACTGGAAATAAATTATTTGCATCGATATGTCCTGATGACAATTTTAAAGAAAATAAAAAAAGCGTTTGCATAAATCGAAGAATTATTTCCTATGTTGTGATTGAGAGGTTATGTTGGGGGAGGGGAGGGCGATGACAACTTCCTCATTGGCTCAAGGGGGCGATGCGTTCAAAAAGGTTAAGAACCACTGACTTAAGTAACCTGGATGCATGCCATGGGTCACATTTTCACATTTACTCTATTTCTTTCTTTCTTTCTTTCTTTCTTTCTTTCTTTCTTTCTTTCTTTCTTTCTTTCTTTTTTTCTTATGAGATAAAATCTTTGAATAAAAGCTTATTTAAAAAAGAAGACCTTTTGATATGCCACCTAGATGGTCAACAGGCACCCACATCAACACTCACCTGTGGAGACCCCCATTAATGGAAGATTCACCTGGGTAAGGATGTATTGACCATGTTCTGCAGCAGCAGATGAAGTGGGAGGGTTGGCTGGATCGCTGTAAGTCAAGCTAAGGTGGATGAATGTTTTCAGCTATATAACCCAACAACAAGTAAATCTTACATTGGACAATCACTTCAACCATCGTCTTGACTGATCCGTACTCATTATTTGCCAGGCACTGATATTTTCCAGCATCCTCTGGTCCAATTTCACTCAGTTGAAGGTAATCCTTGGCTTGACCAATTTTCTCGTTCCCCTTCATCCAGGATAGGCTGGGAGTTGGTCTACCATCAGCAGTACAGGCTAGGTTGACAGTGCTTCCTTCCTGGGCCATCACATGGTCCAATCCCTCTCTCCTTTGCCATTCTGATGAGCCTGCAAGCATTTAGGAGCATCAAACAGAGAACTACCCAAAACCGCATATTGGAAGCCACCTCTACAGATCTGGCATAATTTCAGAAAACCAAGATAACTGAATATTTTGTTGGTTGGTTTCATTTGTGAAATATATAATGCAAATGACCTTGACCTTGTAAGATGGGGGGGGGGGAAGAGATGTTGCTTAAGGAATGATCAGATAAAACAGGGAGAGCTTTTCAAGCTTGCAAGAACATTTGGAGAGCAGAGAATCAGCATTCTGGTATTGGGCTTGAAGGAATCTGCAAAAACATCCACAATTTGAAATCTTACCATAGTGTCCTGAGTCCATCGTGTTTACTGTGATATTGATTTTCTGGGGTGGTTCTGAAACACAGGAAGAAGAAAAGTGAGAAGTCCTTGCCAAGAAGGCACACAGGATCATGGAAGACAAAAAACCAGAAAGCTTTGACTACTGCGTGTATAAATATGAGATTACAACGTAATCAACCTTGGTGGCTGCATTTTAGAGTAGAAGGTTGGAAATAATAATAGTAATAATAATAATAATAATAATAATGATAATAATAATAATAATAATAAAGTTGGAAGGGACCTTGGAGGTCATCAAGTCCAACCCCTTCCTCAGGCAGGAAACCCTACACCAAAATGGATTGCAGGCTAACTCTGCCCACTGTCAGCAGTTGGAACCTCACTGGCTCAAGGTTCTCAGCCTTCCATTCTTCTGTGGACCCAGATTTTGGGGGGCAATAGGCTGACTCTGTAAACCACTTAGAGGGGCTATAAAGCACTGTGAAACGGTATGTAAGTCTAAGTGCTATTGCTAACAGTTTGAATTCTGTGAGAATCAGGGTATGTAGGAAAGAGATTTGTGTTATTGTAGTTGTTTTCCTACTTGGTTTTTCTGTTTTCCCGTGTACTTTTTTGCACCATTGAATACTGTTTGGGAAATTTCTCAGATACTTCTTTTATTTGGGGATCCTGTCCAGAGTGATCTATTTTAATTCTTCCTTCACTTGGCTTGCCTTTTCTTCCTTCATAGTGATATCGCTAACACCCCTTCTTTTCTGTGCTAAGAAGCAGTGACCAATTTGTTGTTTTGACTGCTTGGCATCCTGATGTCCTTCAAATATTGTGAACTACAAGTTCCACAATCCCCGGTCCACACATGTGAAAGGGGCTGTAATCCAGACTATCTGAAAGGCATCAAGTAACATATCTCTTCTTTAAAGCAAGGGTCTCCAACCTTGGCAACTTTAAGACCTGTGGATTTCAACTCCTAGAATTCCCCAGTTAGCTATGCTAAGTTGGCTGGGGAATTCTGGGAGTTGAAGTCCACAGGTCTTAAAGTTGCCAAGGTTGGAGACCCCTGCTTTAAAGCATCAAAGAGGACCTCAACAACAGATTGCACTTTGGTACTTAATATTGGCAGGATATATTCTAATTTATTTCCTTTGCTGAGTCAGCATTGGAAGATACTGGAAGGAGAAGAGGCAATTCTTTGCTCATCATTGTAGTTGCAGGCCTCCAAAGAAGTGGAGAGATAGAGGAAGAAAGTCAAAAAAGGCAAAATGGCGGGCACTGGAAGTGACTGAAGGTTCAATTTTTTATAACATGTAATGCACATGTAATGAAACGAGGCTTCAATCACACAGTCACAGTTGCTCTCTTGCTTGGGGTTTTTTACCCAATGCATAGATATCTCCTAATAGCTGATCTCCTACTGGTAGATCTTTTCTGATCTCTTTATAATAGAAAAGAGACAAACGCAACAAAATGAATAAGTCATCCAACAATAGAAAACTACTTACCTATCACATAAACATAAGGTGAAGTATGTCCCATTTCTGGGACAAAAGAAAATTTTAATCTATGTTTTCCCTCAATTCTCAAGTAGTATTGCCCTTCATCTTCTATTTGAGCCTCCGTGATGACAAGTGAGCAATTTCCTTTAATTGAATCTCCTAATAAATAGAAGCGATCCTTGGCCGAATGTTTGACTGTCTTGCTTTTGTCATTGGTAGCCACAGGCCTGCAGGTATGAGAAAGCGATGGAGAACAGGGGGATACTTGTGGCTGAGATTTAATCCAGTAAGCAGTTATACTCTCTTGCCACGACATGTGTTCCGAATTATAAGTGAACTGGCACGGAATATGAACAGCGAGACCACGTTGCACGGAGACAGAAGAAGGCACAGTGATACTATAATCCCTTGCTTCTTGACTTCTGATTCCTGATCCAAGAAAAACAAAACAAAATTAGTTTGGATACAGACAAAGCTTAAATGAAAACACTAGAAAATCTCTTGAGATTTCTTGCAGGACTAACTCATAAAGTGGAGAGCATCACAAGTTGTCAAACCCCCTAAAACATGAGGCCATGTGTCCACTGTGCACCCTCTCCACCACAACAGTGGGCTCAAGAGATTGAAAGAGAAGACGGCATTCAGCAGCTAAGGGTCCTCTATGTTTTGGCATTATTTGGCTATATTGGTGAACAAGAACGTTGTGCTGAACCATGGTGTAGTGTTGGTGTTTGGGAATTGTATATAACAAAAACACAGCAATTGTCTATTATTAAACTGGGTTTAGAGTGATATGTCCACCACAGACATAGTGTCCAAGACAATAAATAATAGATGGAACTCTACAATGAAATGATTCTCTGTTGTTTAACAAGATGCAAGGGAAAAAAATTGGACAGTTCCTTATAGGACAAAAAGTGAACTTTGCCAAATGGTTGAACCATCTCAGTTGGAAGGGATAGACTGAATTAAGAGATGTGTAAAGACTGCAGCCAAAATAGCAATAGCAATAACAGTGTCATGGTTTTGATAGATGAGACCAATTAAAGCAGAACTCTAAGAGTTTTCCTCTAAGAACATGTTTATTGGTTACAAAGTATTGGCACCGTCAAAAGTGAAACCAAGACTAAAGTCCCCTCCAAAAGAAACAGTAATACAAAGTTAAAATTCCCACCCCAAAACCTTTGCAATCAACTGTGTTTCCAAATAGAATAGTTTGGTGGGCTTTCTGACATTAGGCTCAACCCCTCCCTCCCCCCCCAAGTCGAAGGAACAGAAAGGACTTTGGTTCCCACAGGACAGAGAATTGTTTAGACTAGCATAAAACGTCTCATTCCTCCTCCCCCCAATCATGTGGCAACTGAAAACGAGCAAGATAGCTTCAGTCAGGTTTGATCCCGGTTTGACACTTAGACTTATATATCACTTCATAGTGCTTTACAGCCCTCTCTAAGCAGTTTACAGAATCAGCCTCTTACCCCCAACAATCTGGGTCCTCATTTTACCCACCTCCAAAGAATGGAAGGCTGAGTCAACCTTGAGCCAGTGAGGATTGAACTGCTGGCAACCGGCAGTCAGCAGAAATAACTGCAGTACTGCATCCTAACCACTGTGCCACCAATACAATCAACATCCAACTGTTGGAAATTTATCTAAGAATTCTCTAGATCTCTCACTATCTTTATTTATAGATCTCCCTGTCTGGGAATAACCCATAAAATGTTCTGTATCTGTGCCTTGGTTAACCAGTTGGGGTTCTGTCTACAACAGACATGTCAAACTTGAGACGTCACGTGACGTCACGTGACATATCGGAGCTTTTTCGCCGTTACCGGCAATGGGGTGGACGCAGCTCCGGTATGATGAAACCGGCCCGCAGACTGGCAGTTTGACACCCCTGGTCTACAATATTGCTAGTGTCTCGTTCTGCCTTATAGCCATGGTATTCTGTGGAGGTCTCTCATCAAAGTCTAAACCAGGGGCAGGCATCCTTGGCTCTTTCATGACTTGTAGACTTTAACTCCCAGAATTCCCGAGTCAGCATGGCTGGTTCAGGAATTCTGGGTCTTGAAGTCCATGAGTCATAAAAGAGCCAAGGTTGCCTACCCCTGGTTTAAACCAAAGCTGATTTTTCTTAGCTTCTCAAAACAAGCAAGTTGCTCCTGATCAACCTGGGCACTAGTAAATAAACCAAATTTTGTAGAAATGTCATCAGTCTCCAGTATGAGAAGAGCGTGGCAACCACTGCCCCAAAGGAAACTGAAAATCAAAGTAGAACAACTTTCTGTCCACCGGATATGTTGAACCCTATCATCCCCAATGTCAACCGGGCAATAATTTTTAATTCCATATTTTTCTTATTTTAGTACATTGCACCTACCTTTGCATAGAATGGCCAAGATCATTGCCAAAGACAGAAATAGTTTCTTTTTCTTACAAGAATGAAGCTTTATCCACCAAGCACTCTCGTTGGCTGGCATCTTGTTTTACCTTGATATTTATGTGAAAGGATGAGCTCTGTAGTAGGAAGAGAAACCGTGTGATCTGGTGTGCTTACAAGAAGCAAAAGAAATATGTTGGTAACGGTCATAGAGATACCTGGAGACCATGAAGAATAAGTGCATCCAAAGGACTTGGAGTATCTAGGAACAACTTGTTCAATTATCTTAAGGAGACCATCTTATCACTTGAATGGGTCACCAGTGGAGGACTATGTTAACAGAATTCACCTGAAATCAATCAATCAGAATGGAGACAGAAGGGACTTTGGAGGTCATCTAGTCCAACTCCCTGCTCAAGCAGGAGACCCTATACCCGTGATGGCGAACCTTTTAGAGACTGAGTGCCCAACTGCAACCCAAAATCCACTTATGCATCGTCGAATGCCGAGTGGGTGTGGCCCATTGGCTGAGTGTGACCAATTGGGGGTGTGGCCCATTGGGTGGGCATGGCTGCAGTGGTAATGGCAGACTGGGTGGGACTAAAAAGTTCAATCAATCAATTCCAACTTTGCAAGAACTTTTTTTTTCGCGAGAAGTTGAAATTGACTGATTGAACTTTTTTTTTTTTTTTGCACATGGTGGCGGAGGCCTAAAGTGAAAAGGTTTTATAAAACCCAGCTGAAGGCCTAGGACTGGGGCGACGACGTGCATGCCCACAGGGAAGGCTCTGAGTTTCACCTCTGGCACCCGTGCCATAGGTTCGTCACCACTGCCCTATACCATTTCAGAGAGATGGCTGTCCAGTCTTTTCTTAAAAACCTCCAGTGATTAAATATCTTGGAAGTAAGATGGATAAGCTAACGAGTGATTCTCTATCTGATTTCAGGCTGAACAATCCCAAAAGTCACAATTATTAACCTTGAACATGATTATTATTTGACATATTTGTCTTTTAACAGCATCCAAATCTGTTTTGCATAGTATTTTGGCATGTCTGGTCTCTGGTCTACAGAAGAGATAATATGTTCTTTTCTTTAAAAAAAAAAACCTTAAGAAAAGATCTTACAGTAATTTAGTCAGTTAGGAAAGGGGAAGGTATTTTTATGGGAACCGAAATTATTATTAATTACTTTAAAGTAATTAAAGTAGTTTAAGATCAGGGGGAAAACTTTTTATGAGGAAAAGTAAAATAGATAGTGCAGCTTCTGTTTGGTTTCCCACTTCCACTTAGCCAGATTCTGATACTCTTCAAAACAACGGCCCCAGAAAGGAAGCATAGAGTTGGTTTGATTTGGTTGGTTTGCTTCAACAAAAAACTGTCAACTTACTTCCTGAATTAGTTATATAGTGCTGCAGTGAAAATATATCTAGCTGTTTTTGCAACAATCTCTTCTGATTTTATGAAAAAGGAACTACTGTTCCATGTTTTCCGTGTTCTGTGTTTGCTCAAAGGAACACGTTTGGGTGAACTTCTAGTAGGTAAGGTGCACCATCTTCCACTGACATTGACCTGTGGGGTAACTGAAAGATATGTGAGTATCCTGTTTCTCATTGTACAGTCTTTTTTCCAGGGAACATATAATAGTACACTTAGAACTGAAGAGAGATTCACATTCTTAGTACCATCACTGATTTTCCTGTGTAGTAAGGTAGGACAACTTACTTGTTCACACAGTAGCCATGAGGAATAGACTAAGAACTTGGGAAATAAGTTGACTATTGAAAAGGAAAACAATCCAGTTGCTGTGACTTCTGTAACTTTACCCTAGCCTTTTGCAATAGCCTCTTGGAAACGAAACTCTGAAAGAATCTTCCTTTGAAGGTCAGGCAGCCTTCAAGAGCTTTCAGATCTGATGTCTCTTGACCTTCCCACTAAATCTAAGACAGAGGTGTATGATCTGAAGCTTCATGACTATCTACTGTACATCAGAGAATTCCCAAAGTTGTTAGAAAACAACTTAATCTATGAACTTCCGATAAGTAATTATAGAAAAAGTAGGAAGCCATTAAGAAAGAATTCTAGAACTGTTGGGTATCAAAAGCAAGTCCTCTATCTAAGTGGGGGTATAGTAATCATATTTATGTGCCTCTTTCTCCAGCTTGAGCTACGTAGGAGACAGACTCCCTTTTCGGTATAAGGCCTAGTTACCCTCTGTCCCTCATGTTAGCAATGGATTGTGTTGATGTCTGGTTGCTTTTCCTTTTAACATAGGACAGTGATAGCGAACCTTTTAGAGACCGAGTGCCCAAACTGCAACCCAAAACCCACTTATTTATCACTGGGTGCCAGGTGGGCATGGCCACTGGGTGGGCGTGGCTGTGGTGGTCATGGCAGACTGGGTGGGTGTGGTCACTTCAATGTTGCTCATGGGGAGGGATTCCTGTGGAGGCGGGGCAGGGTTCAGGGAGATCCAGGGGGTTTCTGGCAGGTGGGGCAGTGGGCTAGGAGGCTTGTCCTGTGGGGTGAGGCAAGGCAAGGCAAGGCAGGGCTGGGGTGCCATTGTTGCAGGGCTGGGGTGGCTGCTGCCTGACACCATCGGCCCCCGCACACAGAGGCCAGTGAGTGCATGGGGGCCGACAGGCCGACAGCCTGATGGCCCCTCAACCGGCGCACTCTGGGGCTTCGCAGCCCACCAACGGAAGTTCAGAGAAGCCGCCTCTGAGCTGGACAGACGGCCGACAGCTGAGGAGGCGATGCAGTAGGTCGTGCCCGGGAAAAGGAGAGCATGCGAGGCCAGGAGGGAGGGGACAGGGGGGAGGGATGCATCCGGCCACTTGGGACCGGTGAGTTAGCGGGTGCTGGTTGAAGCGGGACAGTTGTCATCTCCGGGGCATGGCACGCGTGCCCACAGAGAGGGCACCGAGTGCCGCCTCTGGCACGCGTGCCATAGGTTCGCCACTGTCAGAATCCAATTATATTTCATCTCTAGTTATCAATTATAGAAAATCCCATTTCTGCCCTCTCTGGATTCTGTCATACAATGAAGGGAAGGGGGTGAACAAAGGGGCTTTATGGCTCTCACTTCCTTCAGTATACTTCAAAGAGACTGAATGTGGATAGCACCAAAAAGGCCTAATCATAACAAAGGGGGCTATTACCTTTCATGTAGTTTTCTCTGAAGTCTCCATCCAGCCGGCAGTAAGGAAAAAGGGGGTGGGAATATAATGCCTGAGACTGTTGCTGGAAGTAGGGGGGATTGGGTGGGGCTACTGGGAAACCCCTTAAAACCTTGAATGGGAAAGCTTGGACCCCAAGTCCTGTCTAGAACACCTGCAACCATTTTCTCTTAATAAAGGATTCCTGTTGGAAGAATTATTCCAAGAGTTCTGTCTTCTTAAGATGCAAAGTGGGGTGGGTCCTTACAGCCACCACTGACATAGGAGAACTAACATTGGCATGTCTTAAAGGAAGAAGCAATTCTTCCCATGGATTTCTTGTGCCCTTATCTCAGTTATGAGGTGACAGAGAACTGTGTGAATGTTCTTTCATTTTGTAGCTAGGCTTCAGCCTCCCTGCAGTTTGATTCAGTCCCCAAGGAAGAAGGAATTTCTCCACGGACTGCTTCCTGATTAGGAAACCAAACTAGCCAGAAAGAAATTCTGGAATGGAGACACAGATAATTGAATGCAGCAACATCTGCATGCTCTTTAGCCTTGAAACAGCAAACACCAGCAAAATAAATGTATATATCAACATTGAAAGCATCCTTAGAACAACATCAAAGAATCAAAGACTTTTTGCACTGTGAAGGAAAACGTTAGAGGAATGAGAAGAATTGCCACACGGCCCTATGGTTCCCGCAATCCTGACTTCTTTTTCAAAGTGGAGTTAACTTCCAGATTGAGTTCTGGTTTACAAAAGAAAGCATTTCAAACCCAGTTTGGTGTAGTGGTTTTAAGACACGAGGCCAGAAACTGGAAGACTATCAGTTCTATATGTGCCAGTCGCTTTCTCTCCATTCTAGGGTAAAGGAGAAGACAAACCACTTCTGAAAAATCTTGTCAAGAAAATTACAGGGACTAGTGCAGACAGTCACCAGGACACAACAATGACTCAAAAGCTTCCATGTGTGCGCGTGCACACACACACACACACACACACACACGCACACACATACACATTTTATCTCAGACCAGTATTAGGATTTATCTTCTGAATTATCCTGAGTCAGGAGTTATCCAGAAGATCAGCATTCGAATGAAAATACACCATGACTTTCCTCAGAAAGGTTACTTAAACTCACCGCAAAACTATACCTTGGTTCCAGATTTCTTTCCTTGTCTGGTGAGATCTTTTCTCTGTTCTTATGGCTAAATAATCTACTTTCTCTTCACACTGGGAGCAGCGCTTACTGATTCTGCTGTGCGACAGAGAACTGAAGGGAGACGTTTTCTGATATTAAAAGAAAAGCAGAAGTGTGTGAAAGTTGTGGGTGCAAAGGGAGGGGTATGGTATTTTCCTCAATTACAACACGCCTTCAAGGGTTGTTTGGGAGCAAAAGGTGGGACAGAATCCCAGTTGCCACTTTTTCTTTTTCTTTTATTTTATTTATTTATACCCTGCCTTTATTATTGTTTTATAAATCACTAACTCAAGGTGGTGATCACCCACAATATTCCTTCCTCCTCCTATTTTCCCCACAAGAACAATTCTGTGAAGGTTGGGCTGAGAGAGGGTGACTGGTCCAATTTCATGCAGCTGATTTTCATGCCCAAGGCGGGACTAGAACTCACAGTCTCCTGGTGATTGACCCAAGATCACCCAGTAGGCTTTCATAATCTAAGGCAGAACTAGAACTCACAGTCTCCTGGTGATTGGCCAAAATGCTTAAAATGGGACTAGAACTCACCATATCCCAGCTTCTAGCCTGATGCCTTAACCACTAGAATTTTTTTCCCCCAATTTTTTTTTTTTTATCCATTTTTCACAACAGGAAAATGAGAGACAAGCTGCTTCAGATCTTGAGGAAAATAATCATCTTGATGAGCAGCCTACTGAGAAACATTCAGAAGCCAAAAAATAATGAGACAAAGCAGACAGGAGAGAATTCAAATGTGATGGATGGACCTTTAACATATAACTATTGGATTGGTCTGCTGGAGAACGCTGGAGGCATTAAATGAAGCTGGATATGGGTGGAAAATTCTGACTAAGAGATACAAATTTTGCCTTAACCTTTGATTCATAATGCATGCCTGAACAGATTGCTTGTCTAGATACAGGTCATTTTGGGTTGAAAATAGGAGCAGAAGAGTAACTAAGATGCATGTCATAAGTCCATTTTCCACCCATTGGAAGAGTGCAAAGTAATGAGATAGTTCACTGTAGCCTTATGAATAAACGGTAGATTTTGGAGAGACCTGATGAATATTAAGACACAAACCATTGAGGTACAATTTACAAACCTTCAAATAATGCAAATATTGCAAGCTTCTTGCAAATTTCGTTTGACCTCTTTCCCAAGAAAAGCTGGATGGTGTTCCACCCTTCTATTTAGTCACTAGAGAACCGAGGCCTTTTTGCAACAAAATTATTTCACCCTGGATATTATGCAAATGAAAAAATGTTGTTATCAGTGTGCTCAGATGGCCCTGCATCTATTAAGTAGCTAGGTTGGCAAAATGGGCTACTTTTCTTGGGTTACTGAATAGATCTTCCCTGGAACTTCTCTTGAATCATAAACTTAACCACATGGTTTGCATTCACAGAACACTGAGGCACCAAAGAAAAATGAAACTGTTAAGTCCTTCGTTCATGTGCGAATGATGAAGACACATGGTAACTGTTAACTACTCTTTATTCTCCTTCTCCAACAACCAAGCAAAAGCACAAAGGCACGCAGGCCTTTTTATATGGCCAGAAACCCGCACAGTGTCAACCAATAGGAACTTAGCGTTTTCTCATCTTGCGCATGCGCTCAAGGCTGGCGCTGCTCTGTCTGGTCCCGGGCAGCTTTTGGAATGCCCAGGACCAATGCAACGTCCCGAGCCTGCTTTTGCAGGCTCAGGACACAACAGAAGCAATGCTAAAATTAACCAGCTTAACCTATTGTACGAACCAGCCATGAGAATCTTGGATGGAAACTAATCAAAGAGAGAAGCAACTTAGAACTAAGGAGAAATTTCCTGACACAACAATTAATCAACGGAATGACTTGTCTCCAGAGGTTGTGGGTGCTCCAACACTGGAGGTTTTTAATAAGAGATTGGACAACCATTTGTCTGAAATGGTATAGGGTTTCCTGCTTGAGCAGGGGGTTGGATTAGAAGACCCCCAAGGTCCATCCAACTCTGGTTATTCTGTTAAATTTATTGACTTGTTACAGCAGACATGTCAAACCCAAGGCCTGGGGGGCCGGATGCGGCCCGCGAAGTGGTTTCATGTGGCCCTCGAAGCCATCCTGGAAACAGTGAGGGAACGGCCCCCACTGCCTTGGCCCTGGTCCAGGCTGGCCCGGAGCCAATGTATAATTTTGTGATGGCCATCTATGCTGAAACACATTCAGTCTTAGTTCCACAAGGCCGTCCAGAAACAGCGAGGAACCAGCCTCTGCTGTGTTGGCCTCGCCCCCTGGGTGCATGCTGAGGAGGTGTCACTCTTTGTGAGGAATGAAGAAATGGACCATGCCTTGGCGCTTGCCCCGGTCCCACCCCCTTCTGCCAGAAACCCTCAGATCTGTCCCGCTCCTGCCCAGGCCCCTACATGCACCCTTGACGCGAACGATGTACAGCTGGCCACCCCCACCCAGTAGGCCACACTCACTCCATCCATGCCCACCAAGTAGGCCACACCCACCCAGCCCCCCAAGGGCAACCGCAATGCTGATGCGGCCCTCAGTGAAACTGAGTTTGACACCCCTGTGTTACAGGTATGAACACTGAGTCTAAAGACGGGAACAAAGTTCTCAGGATTAATTTTGATAACTACATCCGTTCCATGGAAATCATACATTGCCAGAAGATTCGTGCACATTCGCCATGGAGCTACATACGAGTGAGTCTACTTCAAGTTGCACCAATTATCCAAGCTCACAAAATTCAGTTAAGTAAGCATTTTCTGCCCACCAGGGCTCAGGAACTGTGACACAAAGGGAGACAAAGCCTTATATTGCAGTGTGTTTCTGCTACAGGGGAATTGGTTAGCTATTCAATATGCATGCAGGGAGTTTCCAGACAGGGGACAGACAGTAACTCTATTTTGAGAAATTCCATTTGTTCAGTTCCCCTTGGAGAAGCTCTTCGTGCTAAGTTACCAGACAGAATATAAAATGGTCGACTAAGCACAGATTTTTCTCTTTCTTATAACACGGGTAAGAAATAACTGGCATGAGGTGTGGTTTTTTTCACCCCAGGAGAATAAGACAGAAGAAAGTGGAAACTGCGCTACAGCAGACTGAATTCTTAGTTCCTCAAAATATTTAAGAAGATGGGGCTTCCTAGTAAGAGCTAAGTGCAGTGATGCTAAAAACCAAAAGCAATCTATGCATGGGGCTATTCACAGCTACTCAAAAATGTTCTCCCTTCATGTCCCAAAGACGCTTTTTCATGAGGCAACTCATGATGCATCGTGAAAAAGCATCTTTGGGACAACTAGGACCTGGATGACTGAGAATCTCCATAGATGTTCTCTGTCCATGTGAGGAGAGAGACAATGTTTGTCAGGTGGGACACAAAATCTTTGAGGTTGAATGATGGTTGAGATGGTTGGGTCAATTCATGTTTGAAATGCAAGTCTGATATTTAGATACTCAGCAGCTTGAGGTCTGGAGAGCAGAAGGGAAACATTTGTTCCCCTTCTGCTCTCCATACCTACATACACTTGTTGTTATCTTATGATTAATGATTGCAATCTATGATCTAAGTCAGTGATGGTGAACCTTTTAGAGACTGAGTGCCCAAAACCCACTTATGCAACCCAAAACCCACTTATGCATCGTCGAGTGCCGGGTGGGTGAAGCCCATTGGTGGGCATGGCTGCAGTGGTAACGGCAGACTGGGTGGGACTAAAAAGTTCAATCAATGAATTCCAACTTTGAAAGATCTTTTTTTTCCCAGTAAGAAGTTGAAATTGCTGATTGAACCTTTTTTTTTTTTTTTTTTTGCACACGGTGGCGGAGGCCTAAAGCGAAAAGATTTTATAAAACCCAGCTGAAGGCCTAGGACTGGGGCGATGGTGCATGTGCCCACAGAGAGGGCTCTGAGTGCCGCCTTTGGCACCCATGCCATAGGTTCGCCACCACTGATCTAAGCTTACCACTTTGTTGTTTGTATGTACACTGAGAGCTTATGCACTGGAGACAAATTGTCTGCCTGCCTGCCTGCCTGCCTGCCTGCCTGCCTATCTATCTATCTATCTATCTATCTATCTATCTATCTATCTATCTATCATCTACTGGTCTGTCTGTGTATCTATCTATCTATCTATCTATCTATCTATCTATCACCTATTTGTATCATCTATCTATCATCTATGTCTGCCTATCTGTGTCTGTCTGTCTATATATATTTATCATCTATGTCGGTCTACCAGTATCTATCTATCTATCTATCTATCTATCTATCTATCTATCTATCTATCTATCACCTATTTGTATCATCTATCTATCATCTATGTCTGCCTATCTGTGTCTGTCTGTCTATATCTATTTATCATCCATGTCGGTCTACCAGTATCTATCTATCTATCTATCTATCTATCTATCTATCTATCTATCTATCTATCTATCTATCTCTCTCTATCTATCATCTGTCTGTATATCTATCATCTATTTGTATCATCTATCTATCATCTATGTCTGCCTATCTGTGTCTGTCTGTCTATGTCTATTTATCATCTATGTTGGTCTACCAGCATCTATCTATCTGTAAGACGCTAAGAAAAAGAACACAGGCATGTCTTGAGCAGAGGTTTGAAGCTGCAGGACACAGCTTGACAAACTCTGAGTTTATTGCTTCTTATATACTTGTTACATACACCAGCTTAACCATTAGATGCTGACAAAGGTTTCTTCGTTGGAAAATGTCTTCATGTAAGCAACTATTTTCTAGTAACACATTGCATGATCAAAGACCAGGTAAAGAACAAAGAGGAGAAGGAACAAGCATATTATCTGTTTAGGTAGGTGAGGCATTAAGTCAAAAGGGGATGACCTTCTGGCTGCTTCACTGGGACAAAGGGTATCAAAAGGTTATGAGGTTTGTGGGGGGGAGCACAGCAGTTTGCTGCGCGTGCATTTTTCCCCACATCTATCTATCTATCTATCTATCTATCTATCTATCTATCTATCTATCTATCGCTCTATATCTATCTATCTATCTATCTATCTATCTATCTATCTATCGCTCTATATCTATCTATCTATCTATCTATCTATAGCTCTATATCTATCTATCTATCTATCTATCTATCTATCTATCTATCTATCTATCTATCTATCTATGGATTTGTCTTGAACCAAGAGGACACGCCATTCCATCCCAGAATAAAGCATCATGGCAAGGTGGGGACTGACATTTATTTATTAAGAAAATGTATGTGGCTGCAACTGACTCACAGAGACTCCGGGCAGCTTACTGAAATAAAAGTGCAACACAAAAGCCAATGAATGCCCATCCCTCTCTGATAACAATCAAACCAACCACTTAATGGGCTCCAGATCACTTTGGAGTCCTCAGACCTGTTGACAAAATCATGATTTCGGGGCCTTTTGCAAAAGAGTGTCAAAATGGAGGCCAATCTTATTTCAGCAGGGATGATGTTCCACAGGGAGGGACCCATCATAGAGAAGGCCTGTCTTCTTGGAGCCATATTAATTTATTAACATGGCCATATTAATTGCCCAGAGAAGAATCAGCTGCAGTGACGTTCTTCCTTTCATCCTCAAAGTACGCCAGAAAACATCGTTTGCGCCAAAGATAGTTTGCCTTTCAGGTTGGCGTCAAAAGTAGACATATTCTACTTTCTCCCATCAGTTCTGAGACACTCACTGCCGAAGCTCAGTAGAGAGTTTTTCTCGCATTTTTCTTCCACCAAATTTTTGCTCAGTGGAATGAGAGGATTCTAAAAATTTCATCAAAGAAGAAGAGCGTGTTGGAGAAAATTGCAAGGGTGGGGTGTGCTGTTCTTGCTCTTACTCTGACACGTTGTGCCCAAGGGGCAATATGGCTCTCCAGCATTTCCCATGAGGCTTTTCTATCATGGTGCTTCAGTTTTGCCCTTGAGAAAGGGTGAAGTTCTCCTTTTTTGTGGGAAAACTTTTGCAAAAAAGGAAGAGGAATCCAGCAGTACCACACATTTGCATTGACTGCATGTCTATAGCTTGTCTTCCTCTTGAGAGTCTATGTGGTACATTTGGGAAATCCATTTTTATTCCCCCAGATCACAATTTTGCAAGCGTTGGCCTTTGAGAGAGTGACTCCTCTAAAGTCATCCATTGGAAATTAACAACTGTCTGAGTTACAACAGCGTGGAAAAAAGTGATTTACAACTGGTCCTCACTTTTATGACTGTTTCAGAATTCCCATGGTCACATGATCAAAATTCAGGCACTTGGCAACCGACAAGTCTTTATGATGCTTGCAGAGTCCTGGGGTTGTGTGAGCACCATTTGTGACCTTCCCAGCCAACCTTTGACAAGCAAAGTCAGTGGGTGAAGCTGGATTTACTTAACAACCTAGTGCAGGGGTAGGCAACCTCAGCTCTTTTATGACTCGTGGTCTTCAACTCTCAGAATTCCTGAGCCAGCATGGCTCAGCATGGAAACCTCTGCCTTTCCCCTCAGCATGGCTGGCTCAGGAATTCTGGGAGTTGAAGTCCACCAGTCATAAAAGAGCCAAGGTTGCCTACTCTGGCCTAGGCCTAGGTCGCTTTATGACTCATGAACTTCAACTCCCAAAATTCCTGAGCCAGCATGGCTCAGCATGGCAACCTCTCCCTTTCCCCTCAGCGTGGCTGGCTCAGGAATTCTGGGAGTTGAAGTCCACGAGTCATAAAAGAGCCAAGGTTGCCTACCCCTGACCTAATGATTCATTCAGCTGTGGCAAAAAAAAGGTTGCAAATATAGGTGCCACTCACTCAACAACTGCCTTGTTTAGCAACAGAGATTCTGATCCATATTATGGTCCTAAGTGGAGGACTACCCATATTACCTGGCAGTTATCAGCTGCCCGGAGAATTACATGATTAAAATCAGGTTAGAAGCCTACAAAACACATACAATAAAAATGGTATTCGAAGAAGACCCTCCTTTTTTCTTTTTCTTTTTTTTTCTTTTTTGCATGTAACCTATCTGCCAGTGTAGAAAAAGGAATCCTAGAAAACTGGGTTTTGTTGGAAGTTGAATTGTACACAAGGTAACAGCTCTCTCCAGAATTGTAAATAGGAAAATAAACAAGATTAAATGTTCTGGTTTATTAATATGTCAACTGCACATCGCAGGGACACAATTGCCTGATATGTCATTTCCATTCGAGAGAGTGGAAATCAAGATCTGGGAAGTTTGCAGATGAAGTCTGCAAATGGGATGGGATGAAATGTCTGTGGATTGCGACTTCTAAATCCTATTTCACAATCCAATCTAATTATGTTTGAGACATGTTTTTTTTTTCACTTGTTCAGAAGGAAGGAAGGAAGGAAGGGAGGGAGGAACCAATTCAGCACCATTTATGAATTTGCTGAACATCAGACCTGCAAAGACCCCAACTCTTTTCAAAGCAAACTCCTGTTCTCTCTCATTTGCTGCGGCAGCTTAGTATCTTCAGGAGCATCCAGAAAGCTTTGAACAAGTAGGTGGAAGATATCTTAAAAGGCCAGAAACTGATTGAACCCTCAGAATCCTTGAGCATGCAATTCAATTTAGCATTCTGTAAAGCAGGAAGTGACGAGTTCCATCTGAAGGTCCAACTTGAGCAGGCAAAACTTTGTGTTCTTTGACTAGGGAACTTTGAAAGGAAATGCTTGCTATTTAAGATCTGTTATCTTGACTACCGGCTGGGGAAAACACGATGTGGGACACAAACAGATCCTAGGAGTGTGTGTTGGAATGGGAAGAGGGGATTCACAATAGAGGAACCGGGCTGGGCACTACTTGGAGGGACATGATCCATAGAGGAATTCAATCAAGATCATGAGAGGTTACTAATACCACTCTATAAAACCTTAGTAAGACCACACCTTGAATATGCAACCAGTTTTGGTCACCACACTATAAAAAAGATGTTGAGAATCTAAAAAAAAAACTGCAGAGAAGAGCAACAAAGATGATTAGGGGACTGGAGGCTAAAATATATGAAGAACGATTACAGGAACTGGGCATGGCTAGTCTAGTGAAGAGAAGGACCAGGGGAGACAACAGAGAGGAGGGGGACAACCTATTTTCCAAAGCACCTGAAGACCAGACAAGCATTAACAGATTGAATCTCTCCATCTAGAAATAAGGAGAAATTTTCTGACACTGAGAACAATCAACCAATGGAACAGCTTGCCTTCAGAAGTTGTGGGAGCTTCATTACTGGAAGCTTTCAAGAAGGGACTGGGCAGCCACTTATCAGAAATGGTGTAGTGTCTTCTGCTTGGGCTGGACTAGATGGCCTACAACAGTGGTTCTCAATCTTTTTAATGCCGTGACCCCCAACCGGTCGTAAGTCGAGGACTACTCAACCGATCGTAAGTCGAGGACTACTCAACTGGTGCAGCACCGTTGGCAGAATGGGACTTTTGGCGGGCTCAGCAGGGCAGAGACAGCCTGGACAATTCCTATTGGCTTTTGAAAGCCAATAGAATTAGACTCTATTCAAGAGAGTCTATTCTATTGGCTTTCAAAAGCCAAAAGAATAAAAGGGAGTAGCACAGCTAAGGAAAAGGGGGAAAAAAATGGCGGACTGCATTGTTTGGCGACCCCCGTGAAATGGTCGTTCGACCCCAAATGGGGTCCCGACCCACAGGTTGAGAACCACTGGCCTACAAGGTCCCTTCCAACTTTGTTATTCTATTATTCTATTCTATTCACTTTTCCCCCTTACAAAGATCCAACATCCTGTGTGGGGTTTTTTGGGAGCCAATTCAGTCCAGAAAAAATTCTGTCCTAAAAGGGAAGCAGACGATAAGACTTTCATCAGTTGAAGCTTGTTAAGGGCTGCCTTATGCATTGACAGCACAAAATGGATAACTTTAAGCTTTTACTGAAATCACAAGTGATGATTTTCTAGCAAATGTTAGACCAGTTCTCGTAACATTCCAGATACAGGACATGGATATGGGATCTAATTTAATAGGAAGACAGAAAAGAGCAATTAATCAATGTTCCAGAGGAGTGGGTTCCCTGGATGTTTGCCAGTGAAATTGGAATTTTGATAGAAAAAGCTTTAATCTGGACTCTCTCAGGAAGAGAGAAGTTGAAATCCAGATTTAACACACACTCCTAGCTATGTAATTCCATTAACAATCAATGAAGTTTTAATGTGTGCAGCAAGTTCTTAGTTGCATATGAATATATGTGTGTGTCTATACACATATGGTCAGCCATACATGCATACAATCCACAACAATTTTATTTTAGAACAAAATGAGATTGGCAAACGGGCACTTAAAATGCCTTTGCATCAAGCCCCCCCCCGCGCTGAGGTGAGGTCATAGATCTATGTCGTCATAAATTACTGACGTCACCGTAATGGCGAGAATGGAGGCAAAGTTGCTTTGGCAACCAAGTCATACATTCGCCCTCCTCTACTTCTGCTGAAACAGAAGTTGTTTCCACTCTGGGATTGGTTATTATGAGCTGTCCCTCAAAGCCACTGGCGAATCGCCTCTCCATAATCGGAAAACGGAGTTAAGATTACACTCCAGGGGCGGGACTATTCCTTAGTCCTTTGTGAGCTTTGTGATAGAATGGATAGATTCCAATTATGAATCGGAAAAAGGCGGGGATATAGTCCATCTAACCAATTGAGATGAAAGAGAGGCGGGCATAAATGACCTAATTTCCCAAATCTCTTTGTGGGTGGCCTAGTTCTGTCCAATGAAGAACAAGAAACTCAATGACAGATCGACAGCTATGCTAAATTGGAAAATCGGAAAGAGGGAACTCGTCCGAAAGAATCCAATCAGCTTCTCGTATACGACAGAGTGACAACCCGAGGAACCAATGGCAACCCACCCGCCCCTGCAAGGCGACAGTGAGAACCCCGCGCAGTCTTCAGAAGAGAAGCCGGGAGCTAAGATGGCGGCCGCCGACGGAGATGATTCCCTTTATCCTATCGCTGTGTTGATCGATGAGCTGCGGAACGAGGACGTTCAGGTACGGCCCGATTCGGCGGGCGTTCAGCTGTTGCCGAGGGAAAAACAGCCAACGGGGGAGAACATGTCCAGGCCCGAAAACCTAGTGCCCGGCACAATGACCAATCAGGGGCGGTCTTTTATCTGAGAAACCCGGATGGGAGCACTCAGAAGCCGAGCCGGATTGGTCGCGAGAGGTTTCATTGGAGAATACCAAAAGGAAGGGGGTGGCTAATGAGAGAGGCCCTGTTATCTGCTCCCCCTCCTGCGGCAATGCAAGCAGCCGCGCGATTGGTTGGGCCACCCATTTCTCTGATGGGGGGGGACCGGGATGGGGGTGGGGGGGGGAAGGCTGGTCGTCTTTTATAAAGCATACTTGTGGAAGAGAGCGGAGGGTTCTGATTGGGTCGTGCCAAGCTTCCTAGCCAATCGGTGAAGTGCCTGGGGCAGCCGCTGGGATGGTTTTCTGATTCTGGCCTTCGCTTGCTAGGGATGCATTAGGCCGCCCCACCGGTTCCCTCTCCATGAAAGGCGGCAAGGGAGGGGCTGTCAATAAAGGGGGCCCTGATGGAGGTAGCCTTTGATGGCTGAGGAAGGGGTGGAGTCTTCCTCTCTCCCCGCCCTTCCGGCTTCCGGATGGATGCCCTCCAGATGTGTGGCCCACAGTCCTGAGCTTTTTGGGGCGCCTGTTGGAGAAAAGGCTGTTACAGCCATTGCTGATGGGGGAGGAGGCTTCGAAGTATTTCTACTAGAGCAGGGGTAGACAACCTTGGCTCTTGTACGACTTGTGGACTTCAACACCCAGAATCCCTGAACCAGCCATGCTGACTCAGGAATTCTGGGAGTTGAAGTCCACAAGTCATACAAGACCCCTGTCCTAGAGGGCTACCAGATTCTATGACAACTTTGTCCCATCCGCCTGGTAAACTTGCAAGATTCCTTCTTCTCGCCCGTGTACAGGTAGTTCTCGACTTATGACTGCACTTTTGAGCCCAAAACTTCTGTTGCTAAGTAAGAGATTGGTTAATTGTGTTTTTCCCTATTTGACAACCTGTCTTGCCCCCGATGCTAAGGGAATCGCCACAGTTGTTAAATTCGTAACTCGGTCGCTTAAGCGAGTCTGGCTTCCCCATTGAATTTGCTTGCCAGAAGGTCACAAAAGGTGATCACCTGACCTCAAGATACTGCAACCATCATGAATATGAGTCAGTTGCCAAGTGTCTGAATTTTGATCGCCATGCTGCAATGGTCATAAGAGTGAAAAATAGAAGTCCCTTTTTTCAATGCTTTGAACATCACTAAATGAATTGTTGTAAGTCAAGGACTACCTGTATATATATACATCCAAACTAGACTATTATTTCTGTGTGTGCATGTGGGTTTATACATAATTATGTTTTTATCATGTTTATGCAGTGTATATTGGAGATGGTTACTCTTTGAGAGCTGTAACGCAAAAAAATCTCATTTATTAATGTACATTTAAAGTGACAGTAAAGTTACTATTCTATTATTCTATTTTAAAGCCATAATTGTTTCTGCTGTAGATACACAAGAGAAAAAAAAACTAGGTCTGTCTTGTTGCAGGAGTATCTTTAAGGCTGAGACTGTTGGGCATCCAGCCAGCAGAATCAACCACCTTATGTGTTGTAAAATGCTTCAGGTCTATCTATTGGGTCAGTGTCTCTTAAGCTTGGTGACCATAAGATACAAGGACTTCAACTGCTGGCTGAGGAAACTGAGGAATTGAAGTTCATGCATCCTATAGTAACTTGCCACATTTGAGAAACACTGCCTTGCAATAAAGTAAGAACAAACAGGGATCCTGGTGATCAAATTGATTCTTCAGAGGGATGCAGTCCTATCTGGAAGCTTCTAACTCATTTTTATTTTGAGCAAATGGACTTGCTAGGCAGTGTCCATTCAGACCCTTGAAACTAAACTAATTCAGCAGAATGGGATACAACTGTATGCATCTAAACTTTCAACAAGGCATCTCCAATTGGATAACCCACCAGTGGTTGGGGTGGAAAAACACTATTGTTTGAAAATAGTGCCCCCACTACCAGTTTACACTTATACAAATGCTTCACTTGAAAAGGAACAGTGCCTGTTGTAGATAAAAGGAAGCAATACACCAGAATAGGAGTAAATAGTCATCTAAAGCAGTGGTTCTCAACCTTTCTAATGCCGCGACCCCATAATACAGTTCCCCATGTTGTGGTGACCCCCAACCACTTATACATCATCGGATGCCAGGGGCGTGGCCAAAGAAAAGGGGAAAAAATGGCGGACAGCCTTGTTTGGCGACCCCTGTGAAATGGTCGTTTGACCCCAAATGGGGTCCCGACCCATAGGTTGAGAACCACTGATCTAAAGAAACAATCTGTATTTTTTACAATATATATGTATTTGTGCTTGATGTATCACTGGTAAATGGAGAATAAGAGCATTATTATGTATTACACATCAGATGTAAACAGCAGCTCCGTAGCTTTTGTGTGAGGGAAAAGAAGGGGGGGGAAAGGTGAAGTCTTGCTGAGTGGAGTTGTATTCATTATATCCTATCATTATCATCTTAGTAGTATATAACCCTGGATAATCAGGATTATTCGGTTGGAGAGCTTGACAGTTCATGCAGTCATAATTTGTAGAAAGATTTTAAAAAAATCAGCATGCACTAGACAATCTAGATAGGGAGCTAGCACCTATTTATAGAATTGGAACAAAACAAAAAATGTGGTTTATATGAGCCATACATACTGTTTTTATCTATATATGTCAATGATTATATATGTAGATGTGCAGACAGATTTGTATGTTTGAATAAATATATGCAAAGAGGCATCTGCTACCATGTGGGTGGATTATGAAGATGTGTACAAAAATGGAGTGCTTTATTAGTGCCATAATAGTTTCAGTTATATATAAAGTCAGTATTCATCATTCAGGCAAAACTGGCATATTTCCCCTCAGGGTTTATCTGTGTGAATGTGTTCCTTGCATTTCTTCCCCCCATATGCAGCTTCGTCTGAATAGCATCAAGAAACTCTCTACCATTGCACTGGCCCTGGGTGTTGAGAGGACGCGCAGCGAGCTCTTGCCTTTTCTCACAGGTAAATGGAAATACTTGGCAAGGTAGGAAATAGAATGTGGAACTAGGCTAGAGACAGTTTGGGCACATTTCTGTTCCAATCATTCATTTTTGAGGATTGCCCTATGCCTGCTCTGTGAGCATGAAGATCCTGCAGAATACTGTGACATCCTTTACACCAGACAAGTCAAACTCACAATGTCATGTGATGTCGCACAACGTATCGGGACAGTTTTGCCATTGCCGGCAATGGGGTGGGCGCGGCTTCCAGATGGCCAAGGGTCTTCAAACTTGGCCCTTTTATGACTTGCGGACTTCAACTCCCAGAATTCCTCAGCCAGCCTGCCTGGCTGATGAATTCTGGGAGTTGAAGTCTGCATGTCATAAAAGGGCCAAGTTTGAAGATCCCCTGTCACAGACATTTAAACTCAGTCCTATTTATGACCATTTAAAAAATAAATATCAGTCCAGCTATTCAGAGACTCAGTTTGACTGCCTCTCAGTTCTCCCTATACATATGGAAGAATAATAAAAATAAATTGTTCATGAATTGACACTTTCTCGTTTTTTGTTCTAAGAATATACAGGCTTTGTCTTACTTTTTGTTGGTTTCTCTCTCTCTCTCTCTTTTTTTTTTAAACTTCTTGCAGATACTATTTATGATGAGGATGAGGTCTTACTTGCTCTGGCAGAACAGCTGGGAACTTTTACAGCTTTGGTCGGGGGGCCTGAATATGTCCACTGCTTGCTGGTAAGCTATAGGCCACTTTCTGTGAAGGACTTGGGAAGAGTGACTAACACAGAAGGAAAATGGAAGAACCACTTCTGTTCTTTCCAAAAGATGAAATTAGGGTACGCGTGTTGTTAAATGCCCAGATGATCAAGCTGCTGAGAAGTTAGCCTGGGTGGCTAGGATCCTAGATGGTTTGGTTAATTAGTAAAGAAAAGGTTAATCCCCTTCCAAATTAATAAAAGTGTTAAAATGATATTTGGTGATTATCGTTTGACTCCACATCATAGGTGGATTTAACGATAACAGTATATGGGGATTTTTCCCCAAAAAAAGTTAGAATTGTACCCAGATAGAACAGTATGACTGGAATGTAACTTTTCCCATTTGAACGCACAAATCCCAATTTTCGGTCACACTCCTTGCTCCCTGTGTAAACTTTCTCATCACCTCCTCTTGGAAAAAGAGCGGCATTATTTGAATTCCTATGACGAACTCAAACGAACAAGCCAATCATTAAAATATTGCGAGCTCTTTGGGTTTTTTCCCTTCCTGGTGGTTCGTGGAAAATGCATACGTAATGCGCCATTTCCTCCTCTTCCTCCAGCCCCCGCTCGAAAGCCTTGCTACAGTGGAAGAGACGGTGGTGCGGGACAAGGCCGTGGAGTCCTTGAGGGCAACCTCCAATGAACATTCTCCAGCTGACCTCGAGGCTCACTTCGTGCCCCTGGTGAAGCGCCTGGCGGGAGGCGACTGGTTCACCTCTCGCACCTCTGCCTGCGGCCTCTTCAGCGTCTGTTATCCCCGAGTTTCCAGCTCAGTTAAAGCTGACCTCCGCCAGTAAGTCAGATGCCTTTGCAGTCAAAACCGAGACCCCGTCAGAAAATCCCAAACAATCAAAAGAGGAGAGATTCTTCCCCCCCCCCCCCGTTCCAGTATGTTGTCCCTAATAAGTTGCTGCCTTTTCTTTTTTTTTTCTTTTTCTTTTTGGCAGATATTTCCGAAATTTGTGTTCGGACGATACGCCAATGGTGAGGCGAGCCGCAGCCTCCAAACTGGGCGAATTTGCCAAGGTCTTGGAACTGGAATATGTCAAAAGCGAGATCATCCCCATGTTTTCGAACCTGGCGTCTGATGAGCAGGTCTGTGTATGGCATCGTGTTAGCTTTTTTTTGGGGGGGGGGAGAAGGGAACGAGCTGAATCCGAGGGGTGGGCTGTCTACCCCTTGTGCTTTTTGTGAGGAAGATCTTCATGTTGACACACAGGACTCTGTGCGCTTGTTGGCTGTGGAGGCCTGCGTTAATATTGCTCAGCTCCTGCTTCAGGAGGACTTGGAGTCCTTGGTGATGCCGACGTTACGACAAGCCGCCGAGGACAAATCTTGGCGAGTCCGTTACATGGTGGCTGAGAAATTCACAGAGGTTTGTACAAATACTTGTGTATTTTGAAGTTTACGTTCTCTTCATTTTTGAAAGTTAAATTACAGTAAATGTTTAAAATGTACCAGTGGTTTTGTTCCTCTGCAGACCAAGAGTTTTCATGGGTAGAATTCTTTCTGGCAAGGAGGAAAGTTTTCCTATTTTGGAGTGTTTGCATGGTCAGTTTTGGGACTGTTTTTTTGTTTGTTTTTTTCCTCCCTATAGCTCCAGAAAGCTGTTGGGCCAGAAATCACAAAAACCGACTTGGTCCCAGCCTTCCAGAATCTCATGAAAGACTGTGAAGCTGAAGTGCGAGCTGCAGCCTCTAGCAAAGTCAAAGGTTATTTTTAGTCAATGTCTTGATATTTCTATAGACTTTCCCTGTACAGGTAGCCCTCAAGTTAACAGCCATTTGTTTACAACTGTTCAAAGTTACAGCAGCATTAAAAAAAAATGACTTGCCACTGTTGCAGCATCAGCATCGTTATGTGATCAAAATACATGCAACCAGCGTGTATTTACAACAGCTGCAGTGTCCCTATGAGCCAGTGAACACCTTTTGCAACCCTGCTAGCTGGCTTTTTACAAGCAAAGTCAGTGGGGGAAGCCAGATTCGCTTAACAACCTTATATTCGCTTATCCACAGTGATTCACTTAACCACGGCAAAAAGGGCATAACACTGAGCATGAGTCACTTAACAATTGCCTTGTATAGAAGTGGAAATGCTGGTCCCAGTTTGGCTTGTAAATCAAGGACACCTGTATAAAGGCTTTCTGAAAGGGATGGACTCTGGGCAAGAAAAGAAGAATTTGATTCATTAAATACATCTAGTTGTGTAATTGTTTTAAGCACTTAATATGTAAACCTAAGACAATTGTCCGGATCCAGCTGTAGGAAGACTTAAGTTTTCAGAACAGAGGTCAGGACTATTTTTGCCTACAGTTTCAAGGATTAGTATATAGCAGTGATGGCGAACCTTTTAGAGACAGAGTGCCCCAAAACCACCCCCCTTCCCTGCTCCACCCTGCCTGCTGGGCTACTCACCACCTTCATCATCCAGGCAGTCCAGCAGTGCCATGGCGGCCACACCCTCCACCCATGCCCTGCAGCAACATCTGCATGCGACAGGGCGCAAGGGCGGAGTCTTGTCCCCGCTGCCTGGCTAACATGTCCTTGACTGCACTGATTTGCGTAGGCCGTGCCTGGGGGCGACTAGCCAGGGGGGCTGCTGGTGAGGGGGCTGTGAGTGGCAGGACTGGGGCAATGGTGCGTGTGCCCACAGAGAGGGCTCCGAGTACCGCCTCTGGCGCGTTGCCATAGGTTCGCCACCACTGGTATATAGTATGTCTTATGTTGGGCTGGAGCAGTTTACGTATTTAGTTGATAATTAGGGGGGAAAATATTACCTGGGTGAAATTTGCACTGAAAATTCTTGTTTCTCCATCTTTCCCAAGAATTCTGTGAAAATTTGTCTCCTGATTGTCGTGAAAATATCATCATGACTCAGATTTTGCCCTGTATCAAGGTACGTACCAGAAAGCTATCTTCTCTGGTAACTTTTGAGTGGTTCTTAAAAGCATCAGTTCACAGTTTTAACTGGCCCAATCGGAAGCATGCTTGCAGGAAGGCTGAAGAAGGCATGGAGGAGTTGTCCTTGAAGAGGACCCATACAAAGGAAGCAGTTGCCTGCTACTGCCTCTAGACCAGTGGTTCTCAACCTTTCTAATGCCGCGACCCCATAATACAGTTCCCCATGTTGTGGTGACCCCCAACCATTTATACATCACTGGGTGCCAGGGGCGTGGCCAAAGAAAAGGGGGAAAAATGGTGGACAGCCTTGTTTGATGACCCCCGTGAAATGGTCTGGTTGACTTCCTCTATGAATTTGTGTTCTAGATATGTGTCTATGAGTGTCTGATTGTAGAGGTTTATAGATTGTAGGTGTAAATACATTGACATTGAGATATACTCCAATATTCCAGTTGTTTATTACATTCAACAAATAAGATGGCAGCAATGGTGTGTATAAAGGCAGTCAGATCGGAGGCGTGGCATATAAATAGCTTGTGATGCCTTAAAATATGCCATTTTATTATTTAGGAACTAGTATCAGATGCCAATCAACACGTGAAATCAGCTTTGGCATCCGTGATCATGGGATTGTCTCCTATTCTGGGCAAGGACAACACAATTGAGCATCTTTTGCCTCTCTTCCTGGCTCAGCTCAAAGACGAGGTGAGTGTTCTTTCCCTGCTTCTATTTTTGAGGTCACTTAAGGGTCTTTGTGGTTTATTTTTGAGGTAAAGAGTAGTGTTGTCTACTCAGATGGCTTGAAAGAAAACCTATTGGTTAGTGTTGTATATCTCAACTTTGGCGACTTAAAGATGTGTGGACTTCAAACCTCCCCCCCCCCAGAATTCGGCGAGTTGAAATCCACACATTTGAAAAATTGCCCCAGTTGAGAAACACTGGGTTAGTGTTAAGGCATGTATATACACCTCTGGTTAAATGACCTTAGGCAATCTGTAGACGATATTTCCAGCTTCTAGGATGAATAGCTTTCTGAATAGCATCAACTGCATTTGTTATACAGGATTTTTTTTTTTCAAATCCTTATAACTACTTACATTAATATCGGCATCTTTTAGCTATTCAGGAAGTTGAAAATTTTAACTTTTGTTCCTTTTTCCGTCTTACCTATGTTCTTAGGAAGCTCCCCTTAAACTAGCACAGTGTTTCCCAAACTTGACAATTTTAAGGCATGTGGACTTCAACTCCCAGAATTCCACAGCCAGCAACGCTGGCTGTGGAATTCTGGGAGTTGAAGTCCACATGCCTTAAAATTGTCAAGTTTGGGAAACACTGAACTAGCACAACCAGAAGCGTTTTAGAAGTGACAGTTGTGGCCGTGGGTCTTCTCCGTTCTCATCCGTCTGTCTCTTTTCTGCAGTGCCCTGAGGTCCGACTCAACATCATCTCCAACCTGGACTGTGTGAATGAAGTGATCGGCATCCGGCAGTTGTCTCAGTCTCTGCTGCCAGCAATTGTGGAGTTAGCGGAGGATGCCAAGTGGCGTGTGCGGTTAGCTATTATTGAGTATATGCCCCTGTTAGCTGGACAGCTGGTGAGTGGGGATTTTTTTTTTTAACTGTTTGAAAATAACTGTAAACATTTCAGTTTTTTACTCAGCAACCTGGACATTATTAAATCAGTTAAAATGTGAATAGCCACAGGGGCTTGTAGAGTTCCTGCTTTTCTGTGATTAATTCTGCTAGGGCTGTTTTGTCAAAATCTCCAAATTTGATGATCACCTATTGCAGTGTTTCCCAAACTTGACAATTTTAAGGCATGAGGACTTCAACTCCCAGAATTCCACAGCCAGCGTTGCTGGCTGTGGAATTCTGGGAGTTGAAGTCCACATGCCTTAAAATTGTCACGTTTGGGAAACACTGACCTATTGGGTTGCCCTGAAGGGTCTGCTAATTGAACAAAGTCTGTTTGTTCTGTTGGTTAAGGACGAGGATTCTATAACTTTATTTGTAACCTCGTAATTTGCAACCTTGCTGATTCATTTGCTGTCACTTTTAATGTTCCTTGTCTTCAGGGTGTGGAATTCTTTGATGAGAAGCTAAACTCCCTTTGCATGGCCTGGCTAGTGGATCATGGTAAGACTCAGATCCTGATGATCAATAGTGGCTCGTTTCTCCTTTACCAGTCATCTCCTGTAACATTGGTTCACAACTGTGCACTTCACTTCTAAGTTGCCTGGTACACGCCAAGGAAGGTACAGTTCCAAATCTGAAGGCGTCTGCATTTTTACAAGTAGTTTTTCACATACAACCAGTTGCTTAACAGCACCCAAAAGGTGCTTACAACCTGATTCCAAAGTTCTGATGACTGCCATGCCCCCACCCCCTCCACCCCAGTTATATGACCATTTTGGGGGCACCTGACATCTGGCCTATGCTTAAGGCCACTTGTAGCATCCCATGGTCAAATAAACACAATTTGCAGTGTCTTTGCCAAAAAAACTGGCATTTTCTTCCGATATTTGCCAAAAAAAACCCCAACAAGCAATAGATTTGCTTAACAACTGCTGCAAAAAAAAAATAAAATGGTCCTAAAATCAGGTCGGTCATGCGATGGGCCATTGGCAGGTTCCATTATGGTTATAAATCGACTATTGAAATCACCAGAATCTGATTTTTCGAAGTGGCAATTAATTCTGTGTTTAACTCTAGAAGCATTAATAGCTTCAGGGCATCTTTAGTTTTAGCTGTTATGCCAGCTGCAGCTTCATATGGACCGAAAGCATTTCCTCAGATCTCCATTCTCTGGATGGAGAATATAATCCAGTCAGGCTTATATGGTAAACTCTGGAGTTATTGAGTAGGATATTTGAAGAGTTAGCACTTTTTATATATCCCATACTGAATGTGAGACCATCTGAGAAAAAGCTTTCAGTGGCTCCCAGTAAATGTGAGGCAAGGAGTAACTTTTAGTACAAAGTTCTTTTTTGTACTGAATCCTTGGAATAATATCTTTAGTGAAGATTGGTTTCTCATTTTTTTGTCACTGGTTTTTCATATATCTAAATGCCCTAGATCCATGGTGGCGAACCTATGGCACACGTGCCACAGGTGGCACGCAGATCCCTCTCTTTGGGCACACACGCCATTGCCCCAGTCCGAGGCCTTCAGCTGGGTTTTATAAAACGTTTTCGCTTTAGGCCTCCGCCGCCGTGTACAAAAAAAAAACAAGGTTTAATCAATCAATTTCTACTTCTCGGGAAAAAAAAGATCTCGCAAAGTTGGAATTGATTGATTGATTGAACTTTTTAGTCCTACCCAGTCTGCTGTTACCACTGCAGCCACGCCCACCCAATGGGACACACCCACCCAATGGGACACGCCCACCCGGCACTCAATGATGCATAAGTGGGTTTTGGGTTGCAGTTTGAGCACTCGGTCTCTAAAAGATTCACCATCACTGTCCTAGATATTTAGTTTGTGTATCTATTTCATAGTTGATAACTTAAACCACTTAGATAACTTTTTTCATGGGTATCAAGTGGAGGTTACTAATCAGCTTTTTAAAAATGGTAAATGTCTCATAGGCATAGAAGCACACTTTCCTTCATCTCAGCCACTAAAGATATATTTGATTGGTTGATTTTTATTCCGCCTTTATCAGGCAGTGATCGTACCTAATGCGCGTTCCTTCTTCTATTTTCTCCACAACAACAACAACCTTGTGAAGTGTGTTGGGCTGAGTGAGGGTGACTGGCCCAAAATCAGCCAGCCAGCTTTCTTGCCTAAGGTGGGACTAGAACAGTGGTTCTCAACCTTTCTAATGCCGCGACCCCATAATACAGTTCCCCATGTTGTGGTGACCCCCAACCACTTATACATCACCGGGTGCCAGGGGCGTGGCCAAAGAAAAGGGGGGAAAAATGGCGGACAGCCTTGTTTGGCGACCCCCGTGAAATGGTCGTTCGACCCCAAATGGGGTCCCGACCCACAGGTTGAGAACCACTGGACTAGAACTCACCATCTCCTGGTTTCCAGCCTGGCGCCTTAAACCACTAGATCAAATTTTCATGCAGTTCATCCCAATGACGTATAGAAGAAAAGAGACTGTAGTTCAAAGGGAGAATATAAGTTAAAGTAGTTATTGGGTTTTTGGTCCACATTTTTAAAATTGGAAGTGCTTTTACCCAACTAGTAATCTATAGCACTGAAAGCATATTTCAGAATTAATGGGATACATTGTGTCAGCAATTTTCTCCAGCGGAGAAAATGAATCATTGAAGGCTTTTAGCACTAAAGGAAAAAAGGTTGAATCACATTCCGGTATTTAATGGGATAATCTTTTCTAGCAATTAAATTCTGATTTAATGCAAGTACATTACCCCAAAAAAAAAAAAAAATTATAACACTAGCTTTTTTTTGTCTTTTTTTTTTCCTGTTTCAAACTTTTGATTATTCGGCATGCAGCATTCATATAATTTTCAGTTATTTTTATTGTCTTCCGTACCATTTTGAGCGTGTTAATGATACTAGTGAACTTGCGCTTTTTGGTCTCATTCTCGCCTAATAAAATGTGTTCAAACTCTGACTGGTAATTATATAACGTGGTTAAAAGCTCATTTTCAACGTAGAAATTCTCTTGTCAGTTTCAGTTATTTCTGGGATAGGCACCGCGTAGGTACGGCATCAAATGAGGATATAAATTGCCAGTGGAAGCCAACCGTAGCAAAGCTCTCACAATTATATTTCAGGTTCCAGGTGCCATCAGTTCCAGTTGGATAGGAAAGAGGTAATAATAATAGTAGTAGTAGTAGTAGTAGTAGTAGTAGTAGTAGTAAAGTTGGAAGGGACCTTGGAGGTCATCTAGTCATCTAGTCCAACCCCCTGCTATTCCAATATCTCAGGGGCTGCTACAAAGAAGAGGGAGTCAAGCTATTCTCCAAAGCACCAGAAGGCAGGACAAGAAGCAACAGATGGAAACTAATCAAGGAGAGAAACAACCTGGAACTGAGGAGAAACTTCCTGACAGTGAGAACAATTAATCAGTGGAACAACCTGCCTCCAGAAGCGGTGAAGCTCCAACACTGGAAGTTTTTTAGGAAGAGACTGGACAGCCATTTGTCCAAAATGGTGTAGGGTTTCCTGCCTGAGCAGGGGGTTGGACTAGATGACCTCCAAGGTCCCTTCCAACTTTACTACTACTACTACTACTACTATTACCTCTTTCCTATCAACTGGAACTGATGGCACTTGGAATCTGAAATATAATTGTGAGAGCTTTGCTATAGTTGGCTTCCACTGGCAATTTATATCCCCATTTGATGCCGTACCTACGCGGTGCCTATCCCAGAAATAACTGAAACTAACAAGAGAATTTCTAGGTTGAAAATGAGCTTTTAACCACGTTATATAATTACCAGTCAGAGTTTGAACACATTTTATTAGGCGAGAATGAGACCAAAAAGCGCAAATACACTAGTATCATTAACTTGCTCAAAATGGTACAGAAGACAATAAAAATAACTGAAAATTGTAATGCAGACTGCAAAAAGAATACAGTCTGCTCAATTAGAAATGCTGCCTGTGGCATAAAATAGAACTGGTTTCCCATGCTGGGTTCCAAGACAATGTATAGATAGGACTCCAGCAAAGAATAGTAATTTGGCCAGTGTCAAAATGCACGATAGAAACGCGGTCAGTCACACTTTCTCTAATTAAAAAGTATTTCCGCAGCCCCAAACTATCTCTGCATTTTAGAGAGAGGATTTAAAAAGAAAAAAAAAATCAGGTTATTTTTTTTTTCCCTCATAATCTTTGACGCTCTCCCGTATCCCTGAATATCTCTGTGTGCTGCAGAGTTCACCTATTGCAGCATAGCTGGGTCAGGAATTCTGGGAGTTGAAGTCCATGAGTCATAAAAGAGCCAAGGTTGCCTACCCCTGACCTATTGAAACAGAAAATCGTGTGATTGTCAGATGTTCCGACTAATGAAGCATTTCAAAGAACTTTCAGGCATGTTTCCTAAAGTCTTTATTACAGAGCTACAAATTGCCGGTCACCATCATGGACGTTTTGATGCCAGAATCTGACTTCCTCTTGCTGGCATCAAACTTTTCTTGCTAAACCCCTCCCTTATCTTGCAGTCACAAGTCACATTATCCAATTAGTGTGAAGGTCAAAAGTTTACTTCCTCTTTCTTTCCTGGGTTTTTTACCCCCCCCCCACTCTAAGCTATGTATTAACCCAGTAAATACCAGACAGTTTTGCATATTGTCAAAGCAAGAATATACAGTATTTGCAGCATTGACAGTGATTATTGTAGGTATATCCCAAATCAAGTCGTAGATATTGTGGCAAAACTCCCAGAACTTGGCTCCCTTAAGTCTTCTGTGTGTAGCTGTTCTAGAATATGCGTGTGAGCTTTAATCTGTTCTGTGGCTCATTATTTCTTCCATGCAGTTTATGCTATCCGAGAAGCAGCCACCAGCAACCTTAAGAAGCTTGTAGAGAAGTTTGGCAAGGACTGGGCTCATGCCACCATCATCCCCAAGGTGCTGGCCATGTCGAATGACCCCAACTATTTGCACCGCATGACTACGCTGTTCTGCATCAACGTGAGTTGGGGAAGGGATGAGCGAGAAGAAAAAGCGGGACAAATTGCGGGAACGTGGAAGGAGGTGCGGGCACTGTGGTTGTAACGAGTCGGTGCGTGAACTGGGATAAGTAAGAATTGTCCTTGCCCTGCCTGATGGGACGTGGGACTCTTTGGTTAGGGAGAACAGATGGCCTTGCTAGGGAACTGCTGCACAACATGATCAGCATAAGCCCAGCTCCAAAACAGCAAACGTCTTTAAAAAAAAAGTTTTATTATTTTTTAACAGAGTTCAATAATAATTATTCAGCAAAAATGTGTTGTCTGAGTATCTTATTCACTAATACAAATTAAATTCCTAATCCCTAAATCTTTTCTCTAGCCATCGATAAAATAGGCCCCAAGTTTGAAAATATTCTGTTTCTTCTCTTTCGTTCAACCTTAAAGTAAGTCTGTCCATTTTCTGCACAGTCCAGGATAGCGGACCAGGCTATCTTCCATAGCGGTGGGACGGCGACCGTGGGAGCAACAGCCTGCTCATCTCCGGCGCCGACGGCGGAGCCACCTGGTACTGTTTACACGGCCGTTCGTCCGCATGACTGAGATAGGCAACGGCCTCAACTTTGCTCCGGGGAAACGAGAGGGTGCGGGGCAGCACTGCCTATCTCAGTCATGCGGACGAATGGCCATGTAAACAGCACCAGATGGCGCTGCCGCCGGAGATCAGCAGGCTGTTGCTCCCGAGGTCGCTGTCCCACCACTATGGAAGGTAGCCTGGTCCGTGACTTCGGGGGCCTCGGCCTCCAGCAGCCCCGCCGTGCCCGAGGTAGGCCCCCCGCTCGCTGTTTCAGCAAAAGCTTCTATTTGCTCCGCAGCCTGCCCAGGTCAGGCAAAAGTACTCTGGCCAGGTAAGTGTGTCCCGGCTGCAGCCATTCTCGCTTCCTTTGATAGGTCGTGCCGGGGAGGGAGATCTGCGGGAGGAAGCCAGCGTGGTTTGAGGGTCGCCAGGAGCACGCCGCATTAGCTGGCACTGCAGGGGGTGGTCCCACAGCAACACCGACAGTCCGAGCCATGCGCCACCGGCGTCTCCGGTCCCGAGCCACAGGAAATATTTTCTGCTGCAAGGACGCCCTGCCCATAGCAGCGCCACCAAACTGCCTTCTATGCCACTGGCGTCCCCGGGCTGGAGCAGTGAAAGCTGATCCAGTTGGTCGTCGGGGTGCGGAACCGGGCCGCGGACAGCAGGCCTTGCTCACCGGCAATGCTGGAGCCTTCTGTGCCGCTCCACTCGGACCGCCGGCTGCTGGCTGCAGGGCTGCCTCCCTCCGGACCTGTCTTTCCCCCCTCCCGTCTATGTCAAGCCCACAGGACTTGACAGGCGGACGGCGTCCCTTGAACCAATCAATTCAAACTTCGCGAGGTTTTTTTTCGTGAGAAGTTTGAATTGATTGGTTCAACTTTTTTAGTCCCACTTTTTTTTGGCACTGCACATGGCTGGGAGCCCCAGGAGATGGCTTAAATAGCCGCATGCGGCTCCGGATCTGTGGGTTGCTGACCCGTGATCTGTGTGTTTCTTTAACATTTCTCCCACCTGTTTGAAGAGCTTCCTTGGTCCATTTGGGCCAACCGCCATTGGGTCTGCACTCCCAAGGTTTCCCTTCCTCCTCGTTGCCTCTCCAGGGCGACTTTCTGACCTCTTTGGGTCTCCAGACACAGCAAAAGCGGAGCTCCGGTTTCTTTCATCCGTGTCGCCGTGACATCCGGGGTGAACTTCAAAACAGCAAACCTCTTAAATATAAGAGCTCCTCAGATCCAAGTTGCACCGGGCCCTTGGTCGACCTTCCTGGCTCTTCCTTTGCTAGGTGCTGTCGGAGGTCTGTGGGCAGGAAATCACCACCAAGCACATGCTTCCCACGGTATTGCGGATGGCCGGTGACGCAGTCGCAAATGTTCGCTTCAACGTAGCCAAGTCGCTTCAAAAAATTGGACCAATCTTGGATAATAGGTATGGGGAACAATAACTTGTTGTGGATGCCATCTGGGTTTGGGGCTTATCTTGGTAATTGGGGTGGGAGGAAACAAAGAGAAGAGCTAGAAGCTGGGGTGGCACAGTGGTTAGAATGCAGTATTGCAGGCTAAACTCTGCTCACAGCCAGAAACTTAATCCTGACCGGCTCAAGGTTGACTCGGCCTTCCACCCTTCCAAGATGGGTTAAATGAGGACGCAGATTGTTGGGGGCAATGTGCTGACTCTGTAAAAACCATTTAGAGAGGGCTGTAAAGCCCTGTGAAGTGGTATATGAATCTAAGTGCTATTGCTAAAATGGAAATAGTGAAGCTTTGGAGAATCTTAGATAGAGGGCCTTATCTTCTGCGTACTTCCTCCCCCTCATTCGCTCCCTTTTTTTTTTCAGCACCCTTCAGAATGAGGTGAAGCCGGTGCTAGAGAAACTCACCCAGGACCCTGATGTGGATGTCAAATACTTTGCCCAGGAGGCACTGACTGGTGAGTGTGCTGTCCCTAGTGGAGTTGAGCCTATTTCCTCCCTCCCTCCCTCCCTCCCTCCCTCTCTCTCTCTCAGTTTGGTTGTTTTTGTAGATGTTTCATTATCCAACTAGGTAACAGCACTGCACAGTGCACTGATGTTGTTAACTAGCTGGGTAATGAAAGGTCTGTAAGAAAACAGCTAAGCTCGGAGAGCCCCAGTGACCCCACAGCTACAAATGTTCTCTCTTTCCTTAATTCCTTCCTTCCTTCCTTCCTTCCTTCCTTCCTTCCTTCCTTCCTTCCTTCCTTCCTTCCTCCCTCCCTCCCTCCCTCCCTCCCTCCCCCCCCCATCTTAACCTAACACCTTTAGAGTGCATTTCTCTTTTCTTGCTAGACGGCTGCCTAATTCTTACCACTGAAGGCCTTATGGAGAAAGGACATAAACCTTCTCTTTTCTTAGGCTTCGTCTTTAATTTCTGTTTCCAAAGTGATTTCAAGCTCACTTGGCATTCAGCCTGACCGTTGAGTGCACGTGGTCCTTTGTTTCTCCTGCTGTTAGCTGTTTCCATCAGAAGGCTTCCAGGAGAAGTTTCTTGATCAGCACCTTTGTAGCCACTTTAGAGAGGGAATCTATGGAGTGCTGGTGATCTTGGGCCTAAGTATGCTAACTTTATTTGTAAGGATTACTTTCCAAAATCATCTCAAAAGGTCACATAGTCAGCATCCTAGTTTCCCTTTGCAGCCAACCAAATATTTGTGGAAAACGCATAACCAGAACCCCAGGCCTGGGTAAGAGTTTCACAACACTGGAGATGTGAATCTTCTCAAAAGCTCAATCCCCTGATAATTCAGGGTTGGCTTCTGTGAACTCTGGGAGCACCATGGTTCTCCAGGATGGGGGGGGGGAGGACACTGTGTACACAGTTACTCAGGATCAGCTACACCAGTGGTTCTCAACCTGTGGGTCGGGACCCCATTTGGGGTCGAAAGACCATTTCACGGGGGTCGCCAAACAACGCAGTCCGCCATTTTTTCCCCCCTTTTCCTTAGCTGTGCTACTCCCTTTTATTCTATTGGCTTTCAAAAGCCAATAGGAATTGTCCAGGCTGTCTCTGCCCTGCTGAGCCTGCCAAAAGTCCCCTTCTGCAAACGGTGCTGCACCAGTTGAGTAGTCCTCGACTTACGACCGGTTGAGTAGTCCTCGACTTAACACCGGTTGGGGGGGTCGCGGCATTAAAAAGGTTGAGAACCACTGAGCTACACGTTTGCGATGATGTGAAAGTTTGTAGCAGAAGATCCCACTTGCACCCTGCAGGGACTGACCGATGAGCACCTAAATAGCCGAGGCCTGACTGTGCTTGGAACTCTCCTTTTCAAATTAATTCTAGCACGTGTGAGTAACAGTGTACAATGGGCACCGCACAACTGAACTTACAGCTGTTCGTGAAATAGTTTATTAGCTTTCATAAACTATTAACATTTAATACACCCTTTTCCTCTCTCCCCTACAGTGTTGACGTTAGCTTGAATCCAGGACCTGGCTCTGTTGTCTCTCCAACTTGGATGCTGTTGGGCCAACTATCTTTCTCCCTTTTCCCTGCATGTGTATGACCAGCCCACCCATCTCCTATTGGATGTACATGATGGAATAGGCCATAGCTGACTATTGTCCTCTCGGGAGTCCCACCTGCCTCTTCTCCTCTTAGCTCCGTGTTTTCAGACCTTCTCGGGCAGCTGTGATATTCTCTCCCCTTCTCATAATGGTCAGGTTCAACTTACCCTTTTGTTCCCACCCTCCAGGGGCCACAGGTGACTCACCCACCCCCAGTTCTGTGAAGCTTGCAAGAGAGGCAGAGCAGGGGGATGGGAGGCAGAATTGATTCGTGGGAGCCTCCTGTCACTTTTTGGCCGCAGTTTGCATGGGAATGCCATCACCGTGCAGCCTGTAACTGTGCATGAGATACCCAGTTGAGCTTTCTCCCCATCCACGCTCGGCCCGATTGGTCCCTTTTTCCATCCCGATGATTAAAGCCGCCATCTTTTCCCTCCTCCTTGCCGTTGAAGTATCAGTCAATGAAACGCGGTCCTTCACTCAAAATCAAACGCCTCAGTTGTTTTGCTCCAGAGAAGGTAGAAGGGTAGTTAAATCCTTGATTTAGATCTCTTGGTTTATCAGGCTTCGTAATAACAGTGTTTCCCAGATCCTCTGCATGATTCTATTTCTGTGCCCTTTCTGTTTCCTTTCCCTGGCCTTTGCTGGAAGGAGGTAGCTATTTGGTGCATGGGGATGTGTGTGTGTGTGTGTGTGTGTGTGTGTGTGAGAGAGAGAGAGAGAGCGAGAGAGCGCTGTGGAACAGTTGACATAGGCTGTAGAGTAGAAAACTCAAGTTGCTTTGGTCATCACAGTGGGAGACTACCTCCAGGCTAAATTTTGTCCCGTATTCCCACTGAACTTCCAAACTGGAACCATTCCCAAATTCTGGTGGTGCAAAACGAAAAGATGCTCTTTGATGAACGATGCATCAGTTGGCAGAAGAAGAGGGGGCATTGGGGGGGGTGTTTCTCCAGCCGTGCTTGAATGATCCCACGGGCTCTTGATTGATGGGAGATCTGATTTCTGTACTGTAAAACTTCCTCCTTCCTTCCAGCTTCGCCTTGATGATGTCCCAATTTTCCTTCTTCAGCACCTTTTGAGTTCCTTGCGGTCGGCGCTCTAATACTTGCACTGGACATGTGAAAGAAGTGTGTATTCTAACCACTCAACCCCCCTAACACACAAACACACACTTACACACTGTCTCCCGTGCTCCATTAGCGGAACGTCATTTTTAAAACGTCAGATTTTTTTTTGTCTGTGTGTGTGTGTATACACATGTTTTATTTTTCGCCTCTCTCCGATTAATAAAATGCTCGATCGTTACTTAACATGGCTGGTAAGATTGAAGCTGGGTCAGTGAGTTCTTTTGAAATGAGGGTGTGGAGGAAAACCGGTAGGAGTCCACAAGTCTTAAAAATTGCTGGCTGGGGGATTCTGGGAGTTGAAGTCCACACATGTGAAAGGGACCAAGGTTGAAAAACCCTACCTTGGGGAATAGCCGAGCTGCTTGGGAGCTGGGTCAGGTCCTTCAGCTTGTGAAAAGATTTCAGTCACCTCTTTTATGCCTGCGTGCCCTCGTTCATTTATTCTGCCTGCTTTTTCTATTCTAGTCATACTTTTGGCAAACAAACACACAAAAAAACTGCATGTTTCATTCCTTCCATCATTTGCTACAATGAAAGGACCTAGCCCAGGGGTAGGCAACCTTGGCTTTTTTATGACTCGTGGACTTCAACTCCCAGAATTCCTGAGCCAGCTGTGCTGGCTCAGGAATTCTGGGAGTTGAAGTCCACAAGTCATAAAAGAGCCGAGGTTGCCTACCCCTGACCTAGCCTTTTACGTACTTGGGTTTAATTTATCAAAATCTGTTGTTAAAATTAACTGCTGACAGCTGGGCTGGTGAGAAGGTGGGAAGCAAAATTGGCTCATGGAGCAAATGGCGTAGAACTTCTTTTTAATGGGTGGGGCTTAGAGTTCCCAATGAAAATTAGCGCGCCCCTGCCACCGGGTCTTGAATCAAACCAGTTCTAGTACTTTTTGTAATGGATCTTCTGGGGTTTTGCCTAGAACTGATTTGTACTTGTGTGCACAGAACCCCTATTTGTGTTCCTTTGATGACCAATGTGGAAAACAAAAGGTTTCAGGATCAACAGTCCCAACGCCTGGGGCTATTGTAATTCAAGAAATGATATATTAAACAGAACCCCCGTCACCCATTCCAAACCTCTTTCTAGACGGGAAGGCATAGGAGATTTGCAATGTCTTTATCCCACTTGCTTTATTTATAAATATACAAACAGCATAATTCAAAGCAAGCAGACATTTTTCCAAGAGAAAAACCCCACATCCAAGCTTACCTATTTATAGCCATTATTTCTTCTAACTGCAAATATTTGCACTCCCAACGCCTGCATTTCCCCCTCAGGAGCATGTACAACCGTTAAACCATCGTTTCTCAACCTTAGCCACTTGATGACTTCAACTGCCAGAATTCCCCAACCAACGTGAATTCCTGGAATTGAGATCCATATACCTTCAAGCAGCACAGGTTGAGAAATGTTGCATGGAAGGAACACTTAGGTCTCTTTTTGAGAAAGACCACAACCCAGCCTACCTTCTTAATTGACGATTGATTATCTTTGGCTGCAGGTCAAAAAAGTAGAAAAGGATATGATTTAGCCAGTATTTTGACTGCTGTTTAACCCCACAGCCTCATTTGAAGCAGCAAGTATCCAATGGTTTCCCTGTGGACGTGTTTTTGGAGGTTGAGGACCAGAATACCAAAAGAGATCTAAAGCAGTGTTTCTCAACCTTGACAATTTTAAGGCATGTGGACTTCAACTCCCAGAATTCCACAGCCAGCAATGCTGGCTGTGGAATTCTGGGAGTTGAAGTCCACATGCCTTAAAATTGTCAAGGTTGAGAAACACTGATCTAAAGCATTTTCTGCCCTTGAACTGGTTACTGTGGTGTCTGGCCCTGTGTGTGTGTTGCCATCCCCACCCATATCTGGAGATGGAGATTAGTCTACAAGCTATCCCTCTTATAAATAAGATTTTATATGCCTTTTTTAATGAAGAAAATAAGTTTTGTTTTTTCCAGCAGCTTTCCACCCATACTCAAAAAGCTTCACTACCATGCTAGGGTTTTGTTTTGTTTCTTGATCGTCCTGCTTCTCTGATTCAGCTGCCAATGGTGATGCTACTCAAAATGACTGTCCTTTGTTCCTCCTGTGCAGTTGGCAGCCGCTGGGCTAATCAAAGGATTTTTGCATTGCAGAGAACATTGTGCCTCTCTAGAACCGGCTGTGACGATGAATTTACATCAGAGGCTGGTTGTTCCTCGCTCGTCCTCCCAGGGAGGCACTGCGGTGTGGAGACGATGAGGGAAAAGATTATCCCCGTCCATCACAGAATGCCTGGTGCCTCGTTGCTGCCTGCAGGGGCTTATGGCAATTGTAGTAACAGGATAGGCATTTGGCAGGGGGTACAACTGATCCTCCAGCGGATGGCTGAGATGCACTATAAGATGAGCCTCAACTCTTACTTTCAAATAGTGTGCTGAAGTGTTCTCGGCTATGCTGAGAAAAGTATAAAAATGTCAAGACAACCTCCCAAAAAGTGACTTAATTTTATAGTTAGGCTATGCTGAACCTAGTAACTAAACACATCTGCACTTACATGATACGTCAAGCTATGTAAGCTAACCAAACGGGTTGAATTCAGACAACATACGAAAACAACGCAATTATAACAAAGCTTTACATGCTGGGCAACCGCAGCTGCTAAAAACGGTGGAAAAACAAGCTTTTAAAAGTTAATGGGCCTTTTTTTTGGTTCATCCCCAAACACGTTAGGATGTAAGATGTGGTAGGAGTTTGATGATGACTGTCCCTAAATTTGCTCCCCATCTCTAAATTTTGTTATCTTAAGCAGCAGATACCTGTTTTATGCTTCTTCCTGCACCACAAATCGGTCTGGGGACCAAAGAATAGGCAATTTTTAGCCTGAGTCCTTGCTTTATGCAAAATATGCAAAGCCACATTTTGCTGAAACAGTCCAGAGACGAGCCATCATTTGAGACATCCTGTATCATTAACCAAGTCTGGTTGCTAGATAGTTGGAATTAGTTTTCTTGCACAATCCAACTTTTGGTTTTAGTTTCGCACACTGGTAAAGTTCCATTTTGTTCCCCAGTAGAAAACTTGATCTGAATAAAAGGAGATAATGTCTCACTTAAAATCAGCCACAAAATTGAATGGAGAGAGAGGGGTCTGTAGCCATCCAGAAAGCAAATACTCTTCTTTAAAGCTCTGGAAAGATGGCTCTCCATCTTTCTAGACCATAAATGGTCTTAGAAGTCTCTTTGGAGCTGAAAATCCAGACAACCTTTGACAAAACTTGAGATTCTTCTCTTTTTAGTGGGTGGGTCACATTCGCCTCTCCAATCTTATTTCTCTATCTCAAGAACAGGCTACCTAACCTTGGTAATGAGTGGTTTTTTTTCTCCAAGAAGCAAATTGGAAAGGTAGAACTTCCCCACCACCATTCCTCACCCCATGCTCTACACAAAGTAAAATGTCCTATCCCAGTGGTGGCAAACCTATGGCACGGGTGCCAGAGGCGGCACTCAGAGCTCTCTCTGTGGGCACATGCGCCGTCGCTGGGTTTTCTAAAACCTTTTCGCTTTAGGCCTCTGCTGCCATGTACAAAAAAAGAAAGGTTCAATCAATCAGTCAATTTCAATTTCTCGCGGGGAAAAAAAAGATCTTGCAAAGATTGATTGAACTTTTTAGTCCCACCCAGTCTGCTCTTACCACTGCAGCCATGCCCACCCAATGGGCCACACCCACCCAGCACCCAACAATGCATAAGTGGGTTTTGGGTTGCAGTTTGGCACTCTGTCTCTAAAAGGTTCGCCATCACTGACCTATCCATTCTAGAGAAAGGCCATCCTCTTGCTTTTCAGTGAATTAATTAACAGTGGCTATTACCACCCCAGGACATTATGAAGGACGGGATAATGGTAGCCAAGGTACAGTATGCTTCTTGATGGTGATCTTTACAAACAAAAACATTTCAGGAACAGTGAGAGCTTTTGCTAGTAATGGCCAAGAAACAAAGAGGTCCTATTGCTTCTAATGATGAAAGCGATGTAAGGATCCTCTTAATTTATCTTAAGTGTTGACCATTTCAGGAATATAATCCTATCTGAAAGCTTACTTAGAAGGTGAGCAGGTTTTCCTTGATAATAGAGGGAACTGTGTTTCTGATTAAATAATGTCATGGACTCAAACCTTCTTAGACAAGAGACCTTTCTTCAAAATAATTCACAGTATATATCTTGGTTTTCCCTCAAGAAGCGCAAAACACAGGTTCCTACTTTAATTGACAGAAGTGATTGATTAAAAGTAGTTTAAAAAGTCCCCATCCGTGCAGACAGAAACCCTGCAACGGGCTTTGAAAAAAAATGAAAAATCATCCTATGCTACATATGACAAAAGAGGTGCACAGAAAAGGGATGCTTTGCATTACTTAAGATTTTCAAAATGGGACCATTTAAACTTTTAAAATAATTCCTTGGACTCTGATTACAGTTCCAAAACTCTGGCATCACACTAAATCCGTGTTTTTTAAAATTCGGGAACGTTAATTTGTGTGGACTTCAACTCCCAGAATTCCCCAGCTGGCTGGGGACTTCTGGAAATTGAAGTCCATACATTTTAACAATTGCTGAAAATGAGAAACACTATTACGTAAAGGAATCTCAGGGTTATTATACTGGGAAGTCAAAATAACAATTCTCCAGTAAAAGCAGTGGCCAACCATTTCCACCTAATGCCCAGAAAACAGCCTTGATGCCTGTATGCCACCAAGAGCCAGGCTCAGCTTGAGGAAAAAAAATTGTATTTTTACAAGGAAAATGGAAAGGAGGGAGGAAAGAATGCATAGACTAGGTCCACAGTGATTCTCAACCTTAATCACTTGAAGATGAATGGACTTCAACTCCAAGAATTCCCCAGTCAGCATGGCTGACTGGAGAATTCTGGGAGTTGAAGTCCACCCATTTTAGGTTGTCAAGGTTGAAAAACATTGGAACAGGATGAAATCTTGAAAAGGTAACCAGGAAGCCAGCTACTGGCCTCCATGACAGAAATACACTGAGCAGTAGGGGTTTTTTTTCCTGCAGATTTTGCTCTTACAGTGATTTACATTTTGAGGCAGGGAGATGGTGAACTGCTCCAGTTCCTCTCCCCCCCACCCCCACCCCCCAGTTTCCAAAGGAGTCTCTGGCCTGACCCAAAACATTTGGAGGCGAGAACATCTGAACACCGATAAGCAGGATGGCTTCTCCACAAGCTGCTGCAAGTTGAAAAACGGAGCAGCCAAGCTGATAAACACACCAGATGCATAACTGTACTAGCTTAAGTAAGGCAGCAATCTTTTTCATCAAAGTGTAACCCCCACTGAGCTCAGAGGGGACTGAAGTTTGAGCAGCCACAGGTAAGATTCACTATACTTACTACAGGAAAAAGAGGGAGCCAGCGTTGACAAAAATGGAGAGATCCACAGCCAACCCAGTTATGCACATCCAGCAATTCTGTGCTTAACGTTGCACAAAGGCAGTGCACTAATTATCTTGTAATTTTTGCTTCTCTTCTGCTTTCTTTTTTTTAAAAAAGCCTCTAGTTTTTAGTCCTTTAGGTTCTCTCTTTCTCTCTCTCTCCCTCTCTCTCCCCCCCCCCTCTCTTTTTCTCTCTCCCCACACACACACACAAGCTCCCAATGGTTTGAGAACGCCCTCTTCTGCCAGGGAAATCCTGAGAGACTACTTTTTCCCCCTCTCAGAGGTTGGCAGCCAGAGGCGCTTCCTCGAAAGCGGTCTTGAAGACCTGCAGCAAGGATCTCCTGACTGCATCCTGGAATTCTTGCCCTACAAAGACATAAAGCAGAGGGTTGATGCAACTGTTGAACATGGCCAGACACTTGGAGAGGGGAATGGCTACCAGCCGCATGCTTTCGGGCACAAGATCCATGGAGATCCTGGCCAGAGCCAAAGCATGATAAGGGAGCCAACAGAGGAAGAAGCAGAACACCACTCTGGTGACCACCAGGAAGGGTTTGCTGGATTTGTTCAGCTTCTTCTTCCGCATGGTCACCACCAGGATTGTATAGGAAACGGAGATCACCAGCAAGGGAAGAAGGAACTGATAGAGAAAAATGCAAATGGTGAGGACTTCGGCTTGCTGCCAGTCCTCAAAGATGTCCAGGTTGTTGCAAGAGCTCCGATTATTGTTATCCACAGAGACCTGGGTGAAGAAGTAGGAGCTGGGGACGAAGAATGCCAACGACAGCAGCCAAAGGCATCCACAGGCTGCCCAGGTGAGCCGTGGGGTTCGGTAGTTCTGGCACCAGACGGGAGCCACCACCAGCACGCAGCGATCCACACTGATGGAGCTTAGTAACAGCACACCGCTGCACACGCTTAGCCCAAACAGGCAGTTGGCCACTTTGCAAGCCACAGAGCCAAAAGGCCAATGCAGGTCAAGAGCCAAGTTGAGCACCGTGACAAGGATGAGGGAGGTGGATGCCAAGTCAGCTAAGGCCAGGTTGAAGAACCAGACGGTGTTGGAGGTCCATCGCAGCTTCCAGCCAGTGACCCACAGGACTACCCCGTTCCCAGTCACACCAGCCAGAAAGATGAAGCTAAAAATCACCCCTGTGATAATCTTTATGCTGTCCCGCACAGGGTTTTCCTCCACGAGCACTTGGGAGGAGGAACCATTGGCACCCGAGTTTGTTGACATCTCCCTGTCAAAAGAGATAAGAACAAAGCAGAAGATCTACCATTATCCATACCAGGCAATGCAATTTGTTTGCAAGGGACCACATTTTTACCAAAAAGCAAATTATCTCCAAGGGCCACAAAGTTGTTGATGTTGTTAAGTTGTTAATATCCCACCCTTGCACTATTAACTATTAAAATTGTACTGCATCAGAAAAATGCGACTAAGCTTATCTTAGCTCATGGACGAAACAACGGAGTCTTATCCTGAAGAACACAAAGTCTAGCATTTGACCTAGGAAATTGTAGGATTTAGGTCTGGGCAATGCCCCTAGTTTGTCCATGGGATCGTGATGGGTCGGATACGACTTCGCAACTAACAACAACCACAACAATGCCTCTAGTTGCTGAAGCTCCCAATAGCCCCAGAATGGCCAATGCATTGCATTCATAGCCTGCCTTTTCTTTGGGAACTCTATCTTTTATCCCAACTAAGCTGAGAAAGGGTGACTGGTCAGTGTTACTGCATGATCTCTGGTTCAATGAAGGCTTGGTTCTAGATAAATGTTTCTCAACCTTGGCAACTTTAAGACATGTAGTGTAGGAGATAACCAGGATGAGCCTGAGGGAGGGGTCAAACGTGTCATCAGTTATGAATCCCTTCATGCCCACAAGACATCTGAGCCAGGGCCCACCTTGAATTCCTTTGAATTTGCTTTGACCCTTAGTAGTTTGTACTAGTACAAGCTGAGGCTTGCAATAAATCTTTATACCCGTTTGAACTGCCTGGATCATCTGATTTCTTCATCCCTTGTCATGTGGATTTCAACTCCTAGAACTCTTGAGTGTTGGTTGAGGAATTCTGGGAGTTGAAATCCACACATCTTAAAAGTTGTCAAGGTTAAGAGACACTTTTCTAGAACATCACCTAACAAAGCGCTATGCTATAGTGGTGCTCCTAAGTTGCAATCTAACCTCATCTGGAAGACTATGAATTGCTTACCTTTGGATTATACCTTCAGAGGACAAACTGTGATCTAATTTGAGGACCATGCGTAGCATAAACGCAGGTGGCTTCCTTGAACAGGAAGCTCTATGGGACTAATTGTGATATAAAATCAGATATGATCTCTTACTTGGATAAGATCTACGTTGCAATAAACAGGAGCAAAGCTATATTAAAAGGAAAGAAGTATCGTCTCCTTATTGGTCTCAGCTCTGGGTAACAACATGGACCACATTTGACCTTGCCATTTTCCAGGATAGTTTATCAATATCCCAGTTATACCTGATAATTCCGAAATTTCCTAGTGATCCATCTAAGTTCTAGCCAGGTCCAGCTCCTCTCAGTTCCTATCCATGCCTATTCAGTGAGCAACAGATGCCAAATGAAATGATGAGAGCTATGTTAAGGCATATGAGAATCAGATGGGGGTCCTACACCGGCAGCCAGTGGGGAGCAAACTGGGATCTGAAGAATTGCAAGGAAGCTTAGCTGTCCTGGTGGTAATTTTCCCTGATTAGGCAGGTTTTATGGGTTGCACTAAGCCAGGGGTAGGCAACCTTGGCTCTTTTATGACTCGTGGACTTCAACTCCCAGAATTCCTGAGCCAGTACTGCTCAGCTTGGAAACCTCTCCCTTTCCCCTCAGCATGGCTGGCTCAGGAATTCTGGGAGTTGAAGTCCACCAGTCATAAAAGAGCCAAGGTTGCCTACCCCTGGCCTAGAGGGAGCTGGGCTGTGTGGTTAACATAAACCTAGACCAGGGGTAGGCAACCTTGGCTCTTTTATGACTCGTGGACTTCAACTCCCAGAATTCCTGAGCCAGCATGGCTCAGCTTGGAAACCTCCCTTTCCCCTCAGCGTGGCTGGCTCAGGAATTCTGGGAGTTGAAGTCCACCAGTCATAAAAGAGCCAAGGTTGCTTACCGCTGCACTAAGCCATCACATGGTGGATTGGGGTTTTATTGAGTGCGACTTGTGAAACCCACCAATTAGCCCATAGTGGTTTGCAACCCAGTTTTCAGCTGGTGCTCTGGGCAAGCCCAGCCAAATTTTACCCCAACTACAGTTAAGCAAACCATGAGTTAGGACAAAGCAGGGAGAAGGTCTCTCCCACAGATACAAACATCTATCAGTTCAATATATAGGGCAGGGGAGAAGGAGGGAGAAAGTTAGAAATTAGAATAGAAAACCAGCCTGTGGCTGAAGACTGGATGAAATGGAAAATGTCCGTGTTCCTGAATTTTCCTCTCCCTAGTGTGTTCTTAGCTAAGCTGAAACCTACTCCTGTACTACACCCATTGTCACAATTATCTGTATTTTCCCCTCTTCCTATCTCCATACTGGAACTTTTCAAGGGCAGTTCTCTGTTGCTCTGGTTACGATATTGCTTTCTCACATTGTGAGAAATATTGCAGAGAGAGGCAAGAACATCCATGAATGAGCTTCTATTCAAATCTAGAAAGTTGCCATGGGGTTGCACGGGGGGGCTCGGTTGCCAAGTGATACGAAAAGAGTTGCCAAGTGCCAAGCAAGCTGAGCCACCAAACAGGTTCAGGATGTAACCTCTGCAAGCTGAATAGATGTGCGTGTGTGTGTTCCAAAGAGCGTCAGAAAGAGATATAGCCAGATCCAGCCAGCAAAACATAGTCATCCTGAACACCATCAATGTTTTGATGGACTGCCATTCTTTGCAATGCCGAGGGGGGATTTTCCAATGGATTGCAGTCAGAGTTACGCAGCCTTGAGGCCGAAGAAATTTTGGAGTGGTGGTGGTGCAGTGCTTAGAATGCAGTATTGCAGGCTGACTCTGCCCACAGCCAGGAGTTTGATCCTGACGGGCTCCAGGTTGACTCAGCCTTCCATCCTTCCAAGGTCGGTAAAACGAGGACCCAGATTGTTGGGGGCAACAGGCTGACTCTGTAAACCGCTTAGAGAGGGCTGTAAAGCACTGTGTCTAGGTCAGTGGTGGTGAACCTATGGCACGCGTGCCAGAGGCGGCACTCAGAGCCCTCTCTGTGGGCACGCGCACCACGCCCCAGAGATGGCAACCGTCCCTCTTCAATCAGCCGCCCACTAACTCGCCAAGGTCCCACATGGCTAGATGCATCCCAGCACAGCTGGTTTCCTTCCACCCGTCCCATCCCTCCTGGCTTCGCATGCTCTCCTTTTCCTGGGCACGTTCCACTGCATTGCCTCCTCAGCTGTCGGCTGGCCATCCAGCTCAGAAGCGGCTTCTCTGAACTGCTGGCAGTGGGCTGTGGAGCCCCAGAGTGCATTGGTCGAGGGGCCAACAGGCTGTGGCTGCTGACGGACACTGTTGGCCCCCATGCACTCGCTGGCCTCTGTGTGCGGGGGTTGATGGTGTCAGGCAGCAGCCTCCCTGGCTCCTGCCTTGCCTTGCCCTGCCACAATGGCACCCCCGCCCTGCCACATCTTGCCTCGCCTCACCCCACAGGACTGCTCTACCTGCCAGAGACCCCCTGGATGTCCCCAATCCTGCCCGGCCCCACATGCGTTCCTCCCCATGAGCAACATCGAGGTGACCATGCCCACCTTGGCCACCCCCACCCAGTCTGCCGTGACCACCACAGCCATGCCCACCCAGTGGGCCATGCCCATCTGGCCCCCGGCGATAAATAAGTGGGTTTTGGGTTGCAGTTTGGGCACTCGGTCTCTAAAAGGCTCGCCATCACTGGTCTAGGTTCTATTAGTGCTATTAAAATGGTTGCCTATTCACGGATTAGATCTGAATAAACCAGTGGTTCTCAACCTGTGGGTCGGGACCCCATTTGGGGTTGAACGACCATTTCACGGGGGTCGCCAAACAAGGCTGTCCACCATTTTCCCCCTTTTCTTTGGCCACGCCCCTGGCACCTGGTGATGTATAAGTGGTTGGGGGTCACCACAACATGGGGAACTGTATTATGGGGTCGCGGCATTAGAAAGGTTGAGAACCACTGGAATAAACCAACAAAAACAGGATGAGGATTTACCCAAAGGTGCTTTTTTCCAAAAGGCAACTGGATTTTCTTAGGATTTTTTTTCCCCCTTAAAAACGTTTCATTTCTCATCCAAGAAGCTTCTTCAGTTTTCTCCATGGAAACTTTTCCTTTTCAAAGGAAAAAAAAAAAAAAAAAACCCCAAGAGAGTCCATTTGCCTTTTGAAAAAGCACCTTTGGGACAACCATGACTTGGATCATTGAGAACAGCTGGTTGTGGATTGAGTTTCCCTGTCTGCAACTTGGCCAGTGGGGGGGGGGGAACACATTGAGCAGGGAAAGTGTGAAATGTGAGAGGATTGGGCCAAAGAAAATTTGTAGGGAGAGGGTATTTGTGTGCCAGTTTTCTAAGCCTGTTTGACCAGGGATGGACAACTTGCAGCTCTCCCGCGCTTAGCCTGCTTTAAAACCCATCCGCAAGAGGATCTGGTCTCTGTCCAGTGATCTGCTTCATCAGAAAACCTGACAGATCACACATTCCTCAACAGCCAGCCAGTTCCCTAGCTAGGCTTTGGTTTTTGCGACTGGCAATAATGTTCAGGGCTTAGAAATTGTGATTACCCTTTTGGCAACAGAGAGGAAGCTGGTTGATGACTGGACTTAAGTTTCAGTCCAGCACTGGGCATTTCAGAGCTGAAAACATAAAACCAGCAGGATGTTCATCCTTTCTAGTACTGCTTGTTGCTTGCTGGCAGGTCCGCATAACAATGTGAACCTGTTATGCAACCCTGCTGCTTCAAATGGGGTTATTTAGTTACAACTGGTTTGGATTTATTGGGGATGGTTGGAAGGAGAACTCTCTCTCTCCCTCCCCCTCTCCCCCCCCCGTGTGTTTGTGTGTGTGAGTGTATGTGTGTTGGGTGCAGTGGTGGGATTCAGATATGGGAACAACCGGTTCTCTGTGTGGATGCTGCTTCCGGAAGTCCATTCTGGGCCTGGGCAACAAAAAATTAGCTACCGGTTCTGCTGAACTGGTGCAAACCGGCTGAATCCCACCAAAGGGAGGGAGGGAGGGAAGGAAGGAAGGAGGGAAGGAAGGAAGGAGGGAAGGAAGGAAGGAAGGAAGGAAGGAAGGAAGGAAGGAAGGAAGGAAGGAAGGAAGGAAGGAAGGAAGGAAGGAAGGAAGGAGCGGTGGGATTCAAATAGGTGAACAACTGGTTCTCTGTGTAGATGCCGCTTCCGGAAGTCCATTCTGGGCCTGGGCAACAAAAAATTAGCTACCGGTTCTGCCGAACTGGTGCGAAGTGGCTGAATCCCACCACAGGAAGGAAGCGAAGTGGCTGAATCCTACCACAGGAAGGAAGGAAGGAAGGAAGGAAGGAAGGAAGGAAGGAAGGAAGGAAGGAAGGAAGGAAGGAAGGAAGGAAGGAAGGAAGGAAGGGGTGGGATTCAAATATGGGAACAACCGGTTCTCTGTGTGGATGCCGCTTCCGGAAGTCCATTCTGGGCCTGGGCAACAAAAAATTAGCTACTGGTTCTGCTGAACTGGTGCAAACCGGCTGAATCCCACCAAAGGGAGGGAGGGAGGGAGGGAGGGAGGAAGGAAGGAAGGAAGGAAGGAAGGAAGGAAGGAAGGAAGGAAGGAAGGAAGGAAGGAAGTGGTGGGATTCAAATATGGGAACAACCTGTTCTCTGTGTGGATGCCGCTTCCGGAAGTCCATTCTGGGTCTGGGCAACAAAAATTTAGCTATCGGTTCTGCCGAAGCGGTGCGAACCGGCTGAATCCCACCACTGGTTGGGGGG